TTTTCCTGACTGTTATGAATTGCCTGTAGCCAAACATGTACTTCAGCTTGTGTTAAATCATAACAATGAGACTATGTGGTTCTTGTAACATTCTTGGTGATAAAGATCTTAATGTAAATTTCTGATTGTCCCTTGAATAGGTGTCCACAGGGATATGACAGGTGGGCTGAGACATCATTGAAATTTTGTCCCAGTAGGGGTCATCTGGAAAAGATTGAGGTTGACTTTGTTTATTGGTCATATTTCTATGTTTATGTATTTGTTGCTTGAAGACCTGTTTTCTTGTTTCCGTGTAATTTGTTATAGAAAGAAAACTGATACCAAATTAAAGTGTTCATTCATCTCCTTTAATCTTTAGAGTTAATTTTACATGTGGGTGAATTTTCTGTAAAGCATTTAAGAAAAAGATGAAATTTAGCAACAAAAACTGGGTGTCAGGTTGTACCAGCACAAAGAAGGGTAATTTAAAAGCATTCAGTGAATCAGATTTGTCGGTAACGCATCTATTTAACTCATATCAAGCTTGTATACTGAATCAGATCTTATTTTGATATGAAGCTAAAGTTTTTGTATTCCTTAAATGTAACAAGTTATAAAAGATTAAAATTTTTGTATTTAGTGCAAGGACCTAGGACACAAGTCCAAGGGATTATCTATAAGATGAAAACGCAGACAGCCTTGTTAAAAAATTCTATGATATACTCCCATGTTTATGTATTGTAATAAAATCAAGTAAAATATTCTCTTTGAATAGTAAAGCTGAAATTCAAGCACTCTGTTTGCGTATTAATGTATGTAAGAAATTTCATGTACAAATACATTTAATCAATTTTGGTATGTTAATCTGTATACACAAACAACCAAAGCCAGATACTTTGCCAAAAACAACATAAAAGAGGTATATACTTTATATGGGAAGTTTAGGTTCTAGTTAATAAAACTAGTTCAAGTCTCAGATCATTGAAATATCATGTAATGCTGGACCTAGTTGTCTAAATATTTGGATATATACAATTTCATTTTCATAACAATTAGAGTAAAATCAAAATGCTAAACTACTTTATAAATGAAGCTTGGAATTTCTAACAGAAGTTAAAGCCCTTATTTTTTTAAAGTGCAAGTCAGGGTCATCATGAAAGAAAGATGTTAGCTTTATGTTTTTAGGTCATAATTCTATGTTTATTTGAGGGTTTTTTATTTTTGCTTGAAGACCTGTTTTCTTGTTTCTCTTTCATTTGTCTTACAGACGGGGAAACTGATACCAATTTAAGAATTCCTTCTTAAACTTCTATATTTCGGAATGACCGTCACCCCCATAGGGGTTTATTAACTTACAGTTGTTAACTAACAATACATTGGATTTTATAATTGAGTTTTTCTCAGCAAATATTTGTATGTTTTTTATTTACCCAGATTAAATTTGAGTATTGGTAATTTTGCTAATTTAATTCATACAAGAGACGTAGAAATTCAATAAGAGGATCATTTTACATGGTAAATTTCCTTTTGGTCTATCAAAAGGCTGTTGACAGTGAGACATACCTCAGTCCCTTAGTGTTATAAAACAAGAATAACTATGTCTCTGTAATATACAGATTTATCGCATATGTGTTATAGTAGTCGTTGGTTAGATACTATCAGCTCTTCTGTGATAACTAATAACTAAAAATTGTAATGGGCGAAAATGGACATTGACAAATTTTTCTAATTAGCTTTAATATCTTGGTCCTGGACAATGTTGATTGATTTAAATGTTGACGCCTGGCGGGATTTTAAAATCATTTATTTATATGTTGACTTGTTTTTCAGTGAAGTTTCATGTAGACCAGGGTGTTTTAAGTGGACGTATTAAGTGTCAGATCCTTTGTAATAAGATTCTCATATCTTTCCTCCATTGAAAAAGATACGATTTTATCTAATGCCTATTAGGAATCCTCTTCCGTTTAAGAGCAATGGTCAATAATTGTAACTGATTACTGACCACTGTTTCTAAGTTTCTAAGATCAGAAGTATGGAATGTACCAATATTTAAGAGTACAAAAAAAGATAAAAAAGCATGTAGAATTTTTAAGTCCAAAAACAAAGTTTAGAGGGTACAATGGTAGTCACAAGGTCTTACTTTTTGCTTTTCCATCAATGTGTCTAATTTAGTGTTGTCATCTTGAAGGAGCAATTCCTCCTAAACTTTGAGAAGGATTTGAATAAACTTTATACAAATATAGTACATTATATGAAGCAGTATTTGAAGTAAAGTATAATTCATGTCATAATTCTTAGAGGAAAACCTGCATAAATGGAGAGAGATATAATATTTGGAGCTTTTTAATAATGTCTATAATTTTCTTTAGATAGCAGAAAATTGTCAAATATTAGTAAAGTTATTGTTTTGCAAAAAATTTCTGAAATTTTTAGGATTTATTTTTATTACAAGGAGAAAAGTTTACATTAAATCAAGATTTAAGAAACCAGTGTTTTAAAGCATGTTAACCAAGAAAAAATATTGATCTGAAATTTGTTTGAGAAGAAAAGCTTCAAACTGAAATTGGATTCTGTGACACTTTGATAATAACAGAAAAAAAAAAATCAACATTCAGAATAGATTTAAAAAGATCTCAACTATATCTCAGCTGGTGGTTTAATATACTGAATTTTATAACGAAAAATCAATTGTCTAATTGTCATTGTTATAAATAAACCTTTGACATCACAGAAAACAGAAAAACTGGCCATTGTTGTAATAATCATTGACACAAATTAAGGCATCTCATTGCATGGTAAAATTCAAGTTCGTTGAACTTGGAATCGTTGTCTTTGGATCAAATTTTAGTATAAGTGGAGGTGTTACATTATACTCTGGTGCTTGACCCTGGCGCCTGTGTGACAGATGTCACAAATACCTTGATCACAGATTTGAAACGTGATACACCACCCCTATTGATCCCACTGACCAAGTTACATCCAAATCTCACAATCATAATAGTATTATGTATGCTGTATTAATGTAAACAGACTTGTTTGTGCTAATAGAGCTATAAAAAGCATTGAATTTCCAACCGATTACCCAGTTATTAATAAATGGATGCTTTTCAAAAAGATTTTGGGGTGAAATTTAGAAACTGTATTTAAATGGCCATAAAATAAATGTCTCATCATAGAGTCTTTATTGAATTTCGATGATTCAGTTTTCTTTCTTATTTTATTTTTTTGTCGTAAAAGTTCAAAACAGCTATGGGCTGTTTAAAATTCTGATGACGCTGGGGGAAATGGGAAGAAACTTTATCAATGACTTCACATAAAACTGTTTACCTGTTTTTGAGTGTCAAAACCACATTTTAAGTGTGAAGACATTAAAATCTTTGAACTGTAAAATATTATCAATTGTTATATATTATATTATTTTGATAGAATAATATGTCCTATAACCACAACTTTTATAAGATTACAAAAAATAAATCTGTGTGCAGATTTTATTAATGCCTGCGTCAGAATATCATACAGTCAGCTGAAGGGAATTTAATAACATAATAGTCCCTATTTTGAATTTTCATTGATGGTTGATTAAAACATTACTAAAGCTTGCTGTAATAAATGGACCAAAGGTTTGGAAATTAGTAGTGTGTTGTAAGACTGATGGTCAAAAACGTCATGATAAGTCCTTACTATTGAAAGGAATTTTTTTGTTGTACTGATTATAATAAGTTCATTTTGAGAGTCTAGCCACAGTGTTTAAGTATGAATTTTGTTGCTGTTTTGATAATCTTATAAGAAATAAAGAAACCAACTAACTATTGCAACAAAAATTTACAGCTTAAATTCTAGTTGGTCACCACTTAATTTATTTTGAATGAACCAATAATGGTACACATGATCTAACTAGGTAGCTATTAACTTACCGTAAAAGTACACTATTTATTTAGTTACTTTCAATGAGTAGTCCTGTCTTTAAAATCATTAATTTAATTTTGTTTCATTAGTCTGACATAATTCATTGTTATGAGGCCACCCAGGTCATATGCTAATCTATATTATATTGAAACAGAACAGTAATGTATTATAATCATATGTATACAGCTTAATATAGAACCTATTTCAGATTTATTTTCTTGTCAAAATTTATAACTCACAAGAATGATTAGAATTTTATAGATGGGGGAAAAAACATTTATAGCATTGTACTTAGGAATGTGTTTGTCATGAACTTTTGGTCTAAAAAGTAAACAAAAGTACATGACGAGAAAAATAAGAAGATGCTAATTGATAATCACAAATCTAAAAGCAATGCATTCTTCACAATAAAACTTATGCAATTACAGACCAAAAGCTCATTCTTTGGAAAATTTGTTATCTAAAATATTCTTTCGCCTGTAGTAGAAATTCTTTTTTTCTAATAGAAATTTTACAAGCCTGGGCTGGTGGGACTGTGGCCAAGCATGGAGACTGGCAATGAAAGAATGAAAACACAATTGACAAATTGAAAAAAAAAAAGAAAATCACATAGAGAGCTAAAGATTGAGCAACACTTATCCTACCGAAAATTGGATGAACTTTTAAAAGATCTACTGTAAAGTCATGTTTAGTGATTTAAGTGATAAATGTAGGAAGGAAGAAACAGGGGATTGTCACGACTAGAAACAGAATATATCTTGTTTAACTTTGTTATTTTTTAAAATTTATTTTGCTGCCTTAATGCTCAAACATCAGTAACCAATACACAACATGAGGCGTGTAACCACATCAATCCTGAGATAAATGATAGAAAAACCCATCACGATTCTTCTCAAATTAAATAAATATAAATAAATATTATGCTCCTATTGAAACTCTAGTAAAAGAAACATCATGATTGATCTACTGAAATGATATGAAAATAAACTTCAAACAGTTCTTTATAGTGTATATATATAGTTAGTGATTTTAGAAATGGCTAAAAAAAATATGTGCTATTAATGATTTTAGAAATGACTCAAAAGATATAATAGTATTTATTTTCATCTTTTCAGATTACAGTCAATGATAATGGAGTTCCAAATCTGTCCTCTACAGCAAGAGTTCTTGTTGAAGTCCTGGACCAAAATGACAACGCTCCAGATTTTCGTATCCATTCCCATCAGGTCAGAATCCTCCGACCAAAGACAGGAAGTAAGCAAAATCCAGTCTATAGAGTATTTGCCGTGGACAAAGATGAGGGTCTTAATGCTGAGTTGTCATACAGGATGCAAGGAAAGCGAGCCAGCAAATTCTATGTGGAGAAAACCAGTGGTCAAATCTATGTTGATGAAATTGAGCCTGGATCATATAGTTTTAGGGTGTGTACATGACATGCTGTAACATAACCATGAAATTTTTTATTAAAATCAAAATGAAGCCAAATGCTATGCACCGACGATTCATTATTATTCTTTGAATACTTATTTTTGTGGATTGTGAGCCTTACTGATGAATGTTATATCAGAAAAGTGCTTTGGACCCACCAAATTTATAATGTGTTAATTTTATCATTATCAACAATTTTAAACGTTCAACAAAATATAAATGGCCTATAGGCTTTTGTGTCCACAAAATCAAGTATCCACGAAATTAAGGGATACAGTATGCAAATTAGTAAAACAAATAGAAAAATATTTTCATTTTAATCTATTATGTTTTATGATTTTCACTAACATTACTGGTCCAGGTTTCAAAAACCAAGGCTAACCTTATTTGTTTTTACATGTTTTGTACATCTAGCAAATATGGTTAAGGCTTTTAACTTGTGCAGTGTCAATATATGCTTCAAAATGTAATTGTATTTATTATCATTCATATATACTTGAAAATGCATTTAAAATCCATTCAGAGAAATAAATACACACTAGATAAACTACATCTTATTTGAATTTTATTGTTATAAATACATCTGATCTCATTCTGGAACAAACTGAACTTTTTAACTGTATATGAGAAATTTTCATGATATTTTTTTGAACATTATAGGTTAGAGTATATGACCGTGGTGACAACAGACAGAAAGACTCTTGTAAGGTCATGGTTGAGGTAATAGAGGGACCAAAAGCATCAGCTAGCCAACCAGTATTTGATCAAGTGACTTACAAGTTTGACATAGAGGAGAATGCTGAGATAGAGGACTTTGTTGGAATGACAGAAGCTACAGATGCTGACTTTGATAAATTATGGTATCATGTTATTGGTAGGTTCTCTACAAGTCTGAATGTGAATGATTTTCAAACTTGGAATTTTTTCCTATCAAATGCATTATCTATTTAACGTTAACTCCTTTACATGATACTAACCACATCAATTCATTCTCAATAGAAAATACTACCTATACAGAAATGATGGAGTTTTATGGGCTATTAAATGATGCAGATTTGGAAGACTGTATTATCATGATACTAAATTGAATCTACATTTAATGTCCTGTACAATTTTTAGCTATCAATAACTGGAAACTCAGTAGAAATGACATCTAACCATTGATCATATAAACAGGGGAGAAGACTCTGCTGTAAAGGTTTTAGATAAGGGTTGATGATAAACCATTTCTATTTATGTTAATGATATTTAATTATACATGTGGTATATAAGGATGTAACTTGATTGTAGATGGAGATGATGACAATCAATTTGATGTAAAGACTGAGTCTGGTACTCTCCTAGTGGCTAAAAAACTTGACTGGGAGACGAAAAATCATTACAACCTTACAATCAGTGTTACAGATGGAATACATGTTACACTCACTACAGTAAGTCTTGTCACATATAGATTTCTTCTACAGTCATGAGTTAATTTAAAGGAGATCTGTTGCAAATTATACTCAGCCACTTTAAAGGCGTATTGAGTTGGCCATTATTTTATGTACTACCAGTAAAGTCTGGGTTTCTTATGCCCTATTTTACCCGTTTTTTTTTACTTTAAATGATCAATTTTCCTTTTTTTCCCTCTATGTTTAGTTTTCTTGCAAATTTAAATGCAGATGAGGTACACTCAGGTTGTTATAACAAATGTATACAATAACTTTCAGATCCCAAATATTTCCTTGCTGCGGTTGCCAATAATGTCTTTTTAAAAACCCATCCTTTACTGGTAGTATAGAAAATAACAGGCAACTTGAAGGCCTACATCAATATACCTTAGCAGTATACTCATCCATTTAAATTCCTGGGACAGATCCAGGGAACATGGGGACCAGACTTCTTGTGGCCCAGCTTTTGGGTATATATGTACAGTTTTCTTTGTTTTAACTGCTGCTTTCAATTGGCTGTTATCATGGATAACTATTTCAAGTACTTTGAAAATGATGTAAAAACGCTTCTCTGGTATTTAATGGGAGACTCAATTCTGCAATGGATCTTTTTCATGGATCTACTAAACAAGAGATGACCTTTTGATACACCTAAATTACTATGTTACAAAAGGTTATAGAATTGTAAACAAAACTGTGATTTTCATAAATACAGTAATTAAATTCTGATATTGCCAACATCTGATTACACTTGTATACAATACAATAACACAGAGATGGATTTGAAATGCCAGATTAATATAAATGTTATCATTTAGGTGGACATAACAATAAAATAAAGCAGAAATCCTAATCAGATAGGTATGGAACCACTAGATAACTTCTAGTGATTCACACTTAAATTTTATTTTCTACTTGTACCACTACAAAGAAACCATGTGTTTGCCTTATTAATCCAGGTTTCTTCATGGCCTTGATCAACAGTTTTAAGACTGTAATAAGGAATTTTTTATACAGTTTGAAACAATTCTGTTGGTTTGAATTTTGGGCACTTGTCCTTTTCACGGTTCAATGGTATGAGTACCTACTAAAAATGTACTGTTTAAGGAATTTTCATTAATCTTTGCAATTTAAATTTTGAAACTATTAGTGACGAATTTTGGCAATAGCCATACATAAATTGCTCTCCTAGAATTTCAGTGTACCTAAATTAAGAATTTATTTGAAAAGTAGCCAAAGTCACCCAAGGTTGATATGATTTTTGATGGCATGACACTTTAATAAAATTTATATTTTATAAAACATTAAAACAAAGGTACAATAAAGCGTGGGTGTGTTATCCAGGAGACAAGTTTTATCGGTGGTGACAAAAGAACAATCCTAAGGCTTTTATCTTGTCAGGAAATTATTGTGGTAATTAATTTGATAATATCTTGCCAGGATTTTGAATATTAATATCACGAAAAAATATATACATGACGTTACACGGCACAGTGCAATCCTGCACTATGATCCACTATGGTACACCATAAATTTCTGAGTGATATTGTCCATAAGGGTTGTCATTGTAGTGATGGCTGTACGATATATCAAAATTAGACACACAAGAATTGTTACTAGGTTACATGTACTTCCGGACAGCAAGGGGAGGTGTCGAAAGGAATTTTACTCTTTTAGTAAATTATCTTTTGAAACAATTAACCATTTTTGTGCAATTTAATCCTATCTATTAAGGATGGCTACTTTAATAACTAAAGTGTAAAAGTAAAAAGTTAGATGTGTAAAAATATTTGCATTGTATTGTAATGCAAGTTTTAAAGCTATAATACACTTTTTGAATTACATAAAATGAAGTACTTAGTTTTCTAAAATTGTATGTGGCATGTCTTTCAAAACATTTAAGATTTGTTTATTTGAAAAATAATCAGGTGAAAATTACGACTTTTCAAAAAAAAAAAGTTAAAACATAAATGTGCTGTTTTTTGTAAAGATTTATGGAAGTAAAATTAGATCTATTAGTAGAAAGATTTTCACTTGAGCTTTACAGCAATGTGTTTTAGATGAGAGAAATATGCCAATGATGTAGCATTAAAACAGATAAAACTTAACTCATTTGAACTTATAATGCTTCATCTTGAGAATAAAGTAAGATAGAATCTTGAAATAACACTTATTAGTTAGTAGAAAAAGAACTATAAACCTACAAGAATGATAATTCTCTGTAAAAAATATAAAATATAGTGGTATTTTGGAAGCGTGGCATATATGAGAAAATTTGAAACAAATTAGATGTAGCTTCTATAAAATAATGTAGATCTAATTTAATTGACAGAAAAGTGAATTACTAAATTGTTATAAAATAAAGGCTTTAAAGACATGATGCATTACCATCCATGTTCTTAATAGCATATTCATAATCAGGTTTTCCCTGTTTGGAAATGGAGGTTGATTCTACTGTTGCTCATAGATACCAAACTTTTACATTACAACCAAAACCAAAATTGTTAACCAATTTTTGTATTGCAACTGGTCATTTCAAATGTTTGTCTATTTTATTTTATAAAATGCCCTTATGAAATAGTTTGCCTCTGGTGACTTTATTGATTTACCGAAGTTCAACCTTATTTGGGATTTAACAACTGCTGTTGGTAAAAAAGAAATAGACTTATTGCAAATTTTTTTTTAAATAAAACACACATATGTTTTCAATTCTGATATTTCAAATTGAAGAATTTTTACAGTCCACAGTTTTCTTTAAAGAAATATCCAATATGTCATGCCGGGCTCCTTCATACAAACAACAGTTTTAAATAGGAAGAAATCATAAAAGTTTGAATCTAAACTCTACTTCAGGGTGGTATGAAAAATATTCTGCAGATTTCACCATGGGGTAAATTTCATTGTATGTTCCTCTGTGTACTGAAGGGTTTGTATGTAATAAAAACCTATATAGTACTTGAAAAGGGCATTGTTTAGCTATAACTTAAGACAAATTGTTTATACATGTGTGTATATAAATGGAGGGTGTGATGTTCTTTGATACTTATGTCTTGGTTACTGGATACCAGATGGAAATGAATGATTCAACAGGTTAATTAATGGCTGTCATTGTCAACTCTGAAAATTAAGAAGGTTACAGTGTTATGATAGCTCAGAGAAGTTCTAATAACAAATTATATGAGTTAAAGATGTATCAATGAGACTTTAACCAACCATCACAATAAACCAGAAAAGACAATGTGAACTTATGATATTCAACAAAAGACAAGTGTCTGCACATGGCAAATTTATAATATTCCCACTTCTAGAAAAACTGTGCATAAAAAAATAACAGAAAGTAGCAAATATCTGTGTCATACACTAAGTTCTTCAAAGGACAAGATTTCTATAATTATTGATCACATTCTTTTACACTTTGCATTTTAGCTGTAATGAATGTATTGATAAGGCATGTTTAATTAAATATTGACTCAATTGATTGCAAAAGCAAGCATGTCTTAGTTGCATAAAGTAGAGAATGCCACATAATTCTCTATTAGATTTTAAAGAGGTTGGGTTTTTTTTGTGAAAGGTTGAAGTTATAATCACAGATAAATCACTGTCACTGGCCTTTCCGGAAGATTTCATTGAAAAATGATTTAACCTGTATTTACTTTTATGTATTTTTTGCTTCAGGTAGCACTGTAATTACTTCAGCAGGTGTTTTGTAGGTTCTTGACACTAAAAATAATGACCACTAATACTACTTTTTTTGTTTGGACATGTCACAAACTGGAAAAATACCTGAACAAAAAAAAATCTTGATTAAAATTTGCATTCCTGCAGAAACAATGCAAACTTTTTACAGTTTCAAAACATTTGTTGCCATTGTAAAAGTTCATTGAACAGGCAGGTACTCCTAAAACATGCATATATTAGTACTTTAAATGGGTGTACTCTTAAGGTTAAATCGGATTAAAAGAATGATTTTATTTTGAAACCTTTTGTACCAGTGTATGTGATAACAGTTTGTCAATATAGGAATCAAGTTTATGTCTCAATGTTATAAAACAAAAAGAAGGATTTATTTTCCTCTTTGATGACTGGGGGTCAGGACCTGTGTTTTGATTAAATACACATATATTTTGTAACATGCCTTTCTGTGTTGCCAGATCTGAAACATCATAAGTTTTCGCAGGATGAGGTGAAAAAGGTCAATCGGGTTTTTTGTCACGAACTCATTGATAAACTGGGTATGGGGTTCTTTTTTCCTCCTGATCAAAAGACGAAATGTCTGATAGGAAATAAATATGTTAATGTGGAAATTTAAATTATTATGATGTAAGGCCGAAGTTCATCATTGGATCTTTAGATCTCAGTGATAACGATGCTCTTACAAATTAACGCTCGGCTTATGATGTTTAGTGTAAACAAATTTATATTCTTTATACTTGCAATGGTATACAATTATGTAACCTGCAGTGTACCTGTAGAGCCAAAATATATCAAAGTTAAAAACCTCTAATCATGTAACTTAACCATTTTAATGTCTTTATAACATTACATGCTTCTTTCCCTAGTCTCCAAAAGTCTGCAAAGTGATGTATGCATTTGTAAAAGGTTTTTCATTAAAATCATATAGTTTTTGGTCGTTTAAAAAAGATTTAGGGATGTTGATCTATGTTATAGTGCAGTTAAATATGTAGTATGAAAGTGTATTCGATAGAAATCATATCTTTAATAGATTGTGTATCAGCCAATCCTATAATGGTATTCCATTTTACCCATAGCTACCGTTAAGTGGGCATTACTGTACGACCAAGAGTGTTTCCATTAAATCACCTGCCATCTTGCAAAAAAATTACAAAAAACCTAGCTTTGTTGTCTCCTTGACATATACCCCTCAACTTCTTTTATTCATATTATCTTAAATTTCAAATTTATTGGTCTTACCTGTGAATCAAACTTCATTCATTCAAATTTCTACTATAGTGGTATTGTATATATGCACGGAAAGTCTTTATTATGGTTTAACAAGACGATTATTACCACAGTACTAGCAGTAGCAGTCCTTTGCTGCATGTTTTATAGGTGTATACAGAAATAAACCATGACCTGTTTTGCATCTCTTTGTGTTGGTTTATTAAATGTCACCAAAATAAAGCAAAACAGATTATCTTTAAATTCAGAAACTTTTTATTAAAATTATTTGTTTTTATTAAGAGATTATTGTTATATGTTTTGTTTTCAGGTATACATCAATGTAATAGACATCAATGATAACAGTCCTTTGTTTCTAAGTCCATCTTACGAAACAACTCTACCTGAGAACACCGATGTCGGCATGAGTATACTGAAAGTCTCGGCCATGGACAGGGATGAAAATAATCGTCTTTTCTATACCATAACAGCAGCTGAGAATGAAATCAGCATCAATAAATTTGACATTGACTCTAGAACAGGTAGGTTAAGGTCATTTTGAATTACCATGGTAACAGTATTATGATTTATTTCCATGTCTGTTTATAAACATCCTCCAGACTTTAACAAGACAAAATTTAATTTAGTTTGTACACTTAATAATTTATGAAGGAAGAAGATCGTAAAAGAGTCATATGTACATAAAAGTCTCTAGAAATTTTGACATCTATTACATAATGTCAAAGTAGATTTCAAGGTCATGTTGATCCTTAAGGAATGATTTACGGATGTGTTATCTTACCAACAGAAATATTATCAATGGTGAGTAATACAAAATAAAAGTCACATGAAATTTATACCTACAACTAGGTGCATATTACCTATCAGTTGTGTCATCTCGAGTTAATTTCAATATCCCAAGTTAATTTCAATATCTCGGAATTTAAGGTAGATCATAAGTATATATTTTTTGAGACAGAATTTTCTTATAATTTGCCAAAATGAAGATTTTACTATGCTCTTTTCAAAAATATAATAAAAATTATGGGTCACCGTGCTATTTTTCAAGCTATTAGTCGTTGAAAATTGCCTAAATTTGGTTAGATTGTTCATGAAAAAACACATTTGTGTGCATAAAAAAATTTCTATGAGATAGAATTTTGAAATAAATTGTGAGAAGATAGGTTTTATAATATTTTTTAAGAAAATAAAAAGAAAAAATGGTGTCACCGAACTTGTTTTCTTGCTACAAGTAAAAATTAAAAATTTCCCTATTAGTCCAGTATAATTTTTTTACTAAATGAGTTATCTCCCCTTAAATGGCTCATTTGAAAAAATGATTCTAAAAACCAAAAAAAATGATATTTGTTTAAATATTTTGAATAATACAATAAATCACCAAGTTTTCTTAATATAAATAAATAGTCTAACCATTTAATTGCAAATCTGTCTCCAAATTTGCAGATTTGGGCAAATAACTAGACCGATTTTGTACTGCGATTGTACAATCCAAGATGGCGGTATACCATGAATCTACCTTAAGTACCACGAGAGACACTGCTGACACTTTTCCAAGACCATATTGTTGCCACTGCTCAGCCCTTCTTCAGTTAATACCAATATAAAAAAAAAAACTAAAAGTTTGTTTTTTGTAGAATTAAAAAATTGATTCTAGAACCCACTAGCTTCAAACCACTGAGAATTAATGTCATAAAACAAAAAAAAGTATGATTATCATTATTAACTAGTTTAACCTTTTATTGTTCTTATAAATCCATACACCTAATATAATTTCTTTTCATTATGAATTCTTTCTTCTTTTTAAGGTGTGATTACTGTGAAAGAAGAATTGGATAGAGAAGTGATTTCTACACATGAATTGACAATCATGGTTAGAGACCAGGGGATCCCATCTAATCGTAACTTTACACGGGTTATAGTTAAAGTAACAGACCATAATGACCATGCTCCAAAGTTTTTATCCAGTACCATAGAAGGGAGAGTATTTGAATCTGCGGCTGTTGGTACATCTGTAGTGGAAGTAATAGCCCTTGATGATGATAAAGGAGAAAATGCTGAAATATCCTACAGTATTCAGTCTGGTAGGTATAGACTGAATGGTGTCCCCCATTACACATGCAGCTCTTTAGTGGTTATAAAAATGTTTTTTCTGCTTTTACCCTGAAGTCAGCTACAAAGTGACATGTTCAATTAAACATGTTAAAAAGACTGAAGTTAATGCACATGGGACTTGGTTCAATAAAATATTTGAAATCAGCAATTTTGAAATTTAATAAATTAGGTATCTAGCAACAAATCTACAGTCTAATTAAGCTCTATTGCTTGCTAACATACACTTCTCCAATAAAAACCTGTATTTTTCTTTTTTCAGTTTGAAAAAGAATAGTGGTAGAAGCTATATAAAGATAAACAAAAAATTCTTAAATTTCTCTGCAAAATATTTATGAATGAATACATCATTCCAGTGTTTTCCAAATTACTTCATTGAAGGTTGTTAATGTGTTGGCCTACCCCTATAAATATATGACAAACATTTAATTGATGTTTAATTTGGAGGTTATCAACATGCTAATCTGAGACCATCAAGTACTTGTACAAAGTACTTGTGGTTAAAACCATCAAATTTCCTTTGATTACAAGGTGAATGAGTACTTTTTTATTACCTTGTATTGAATGATAGGTACTAAGTGAATTTTTACAACCCTCCAATAGAGGTTCCCACAGGTTAAGTTAGATTTGAAATCGTGGATTGGTTGTAGAAATCTGTTTTTAATTTGTCATTTCAAGACAAAATTGGCAGCTATGTTAGAAAGATATTAAATAATTCATTTAATTCATTTAAGTTTTTTAAAGTGCAAAATTGTATGTTTATTGAATTATAATGCAAAAGAAATACCCAATTGAGCCTCTGAGGTGGTGTGGACAAAATGGTCTACAAAGTGACAAAGTCATAGAAGCAGAAAATTTGAACAACTATCATTAAATCATTATTTATTCATAAACACAAACCCAGGCTTCACCTTTTATGGTAATGGTAGAATGGACGCTAACATAGGGTCCTTTCTTTCACACATTCTAATTGTGTTTGTTTATTTTATTAAGAAGTTAAATGGAAATTATGTTTATTCTTCACAGTTGATTTTAAAGTTATGAGAATTTGATGATTTGACTTTTAAGTGGCTTAACCTACCACTTTATATATAAATTTAATTTTATGCTTATTATACTATTCAAAGCCATATTTATTGAAAATTTTACACAGATGGACAGTGAAAAGTACTTTAAAGTGTAGTTAAACAGTTCAAGGATTTCACATCATACTAAAAATGGCTGTTAATCCATACCCAAATTTTGCAAGGTGGCTGTATACATAATATGGACTATATCCTTTCCAAAAAAGTTAAATTGACAAAAACAAAATTGCTTTACCCAAATATACTTTAGCATATTGATATCAATATTCTGCATGTCAAAAAACATTTTTTCCCCAGTGAAAGTGAGATTGTAGATATATTAATGAAAAAATAAACGAAAATATCTGCATCAAGCAAGTATAACTTTCACAATTTTTTTTGTTTTCGTGTTTAATTTTTTACCTCTGACATTCAGTTCTCGAACTGTACATCTGAATTGCAGAGAATCACACAATCCAATCATTAAAGCTACTGTAAGCCGACCTTTGGACACTTTATAGTTCTATATAAGGCGTTAATGCCATGTTTAATTATGTCAGCTGCTGCACATCTGACCTGTAGTTTTTGTTCACTCTTTTGAAAGGTCAAACAAAGGTCAGATAAAACATGGATTTTTATAACAATTTTGAGAAATTGGAACCAAATTCATACTTTAAGGAAGATGAAATTATATTATGTATTTTTAAAAGGATACTAAATACTTTTTCTTTTGTATTTGGTAGTACTTTTTCAAGGTTAACGTTACCTAAACTCCTTTCAACATTGTGACCTTCGACGTTTATTCCTATTTTATATGGAAATCTGATATCAAATGTGTGTGTTGCAGTAGATGCAAACATTATTAATGTCCCTCTTAAGTTAGGGTACAAAAGGAACTGTATTTGTTCAGTAGGGGAAAAGGTCACAAAAATGTGATAAATTATGGTTACATTTATGTACGTTTGAAGACATGATGCATTATTTTGAAATTAGATTTTTATTCTGACAGCTATTTTCCAAAGACTCCTTACTTAACTTTATAGAATACAAGAAGTAAATGATTGTAATTTCCCTGTTTTTACCTCAGAAGGAGGTTTCTGCTAATTTTCCTGTTTTTACCCTAGGACAGAAGGAAGTTTCTGCTAATTTCCCTGATTTTACCTCAGAAGGAGGCTTCTGCTAATTTCCCTGTTTTTACCTCAGAAGGAGGCTTCTGCTAAATGAATTGTTAACCTGATAAAGAAAAAGCTAAAGATTAAAGCATATTTTGTAAGATATAAACATTAGATACAGATATTCTTGATCAATCCAGCGTAAAAATAAATACAAATAATTATGTGCATGGGTGTTTTTGTAGTGCATATTGTGAGAAATAATTGGTGATGAAAATACTGCCTATTAATTAATTTTTACACAGATTGTTATATAATATCGTAGTAAGTCTTTTGACATGAAACAATTCTATAACTGTTTGCTTACTTTGACAAGATGCAGTAAGTCTTTTGACATGGAACAATTCTATAACTGTTTGCTTACTTTGACTAGATGTTAGACATACCTTTCTAAGATCTACTACAGTTTACGTTAGACCTTCTAAAAACATTCTTCATTTTATGATCGGGGACTGTAGTTTGACAAATCTCAAATCAAAACTATTCCATAAAGGATAATGGACAAAAAATTTAAGAAAAATACAATTATTTTTAAAGCGACACCTTTTTAATGAAATGGTTTTTCACTTTTTTATGTTTAAAACATAAATTTATTAAAAGCATTGCTTGTTTTATGTATTTCAACCTGACAACTTCTTACTTCTCCATTTTAATGGGAATTAGGAATTTAAATACATAATTTGATATACTAAGTAAAGATGCAAGGAATATGAAACAAAAGTTGTATGCGACTAGAATCATGTAACTGAACTTTTATCTTTGTGTAACAGGGCCTTTAATTTCCTTATAAATCATATTTTAATGGGTTTTTCTTGGATCTTTTTTTCCTGTAGAAATTAAGTTTTTGAATTGGAACAGTTTCAAAGTTCACTCTAAAAATTTTTGTTCAGTTTGCATCTAGTTCATACAACTTGGGGTTGTTTATTTAAAAGAAGAAATCCATTGAAGTAAAACAAATTTCTTGCCACTGCAAAGAAACTCTTGTGCATTTTATGAATAGTGATTTTTTCAAATCATTTAGCATTTATTTATGTCTTGTTGTAAACTAGGGGCAAATATTTATATTTCAAAAGATTTTAGATATGAATTAATGTACTATTTTATAGATCTTACAGCTTAATAGGAACTGAAAAATCCATTAAAGAACTTTTAAAATAAACTTCACATATATTACAAATTGGAACCTATTGAAAAATGAAAAGTTACTATTTAAAAATTGTAAATTGTTCATGTGAAATAGAAATAAATTAACCATTAAATACATTTGCAGAAATGTTAAATTGCATTTTCTTGCTTATGTGCCCCATAAAATATTTTTAATTCAAAGTTAATAAGTTGATAAATGTTTTGATGCAATATGAAAATTGTATTAAGTAAAAAATGAAAGTTCTTCAAGGTTAAATCTTTTATGCTTGGCCATTGATGAAGAAAGATAAACTTCAATACACAACTGTCAAAGTTTATAAATGATGAAAATCAAATAAATATTATAGTTGATTTTCAAGGGTAGATCACCTCTAATGTGCAAATACAGTCAAAGGGGGATAACTTCATTTCCTTAACAATTTTCTTCATCACAACTTGATTTGATTAAGAATAAAACAGATTGTTGAAAAAAGAGTCCATTTGGTTTTATGATTTATAAGTTTAAACCATGCAGGATATAGAGTTTTGAATCACCACTGAACCCGTGGCTTAAAACTTATGTTTGTAAACCAAAATTATGATAATGAATGAAAAACCACTGCACTTGTAGTACAGAACTATTGGGTTAGATTTAAGTTGGCTGAACCTGGGACTATCTATATGTTAATATATAAGTCTTAGGCTGAGCAAAGCAAAATATATTTATGTGACTAGTTAAATAACCATTGTTAAGGACATTTTAGAACAATTGTTATGTTTTTATGTTTACTGTTAAGATCTGACAAAATTAAGATGTATTATAGATTCTAAGAAACAAATTGCAGGTTAGAAGAACGGTCATTTGTTTAATGATAGCTAGTGAAATTGTTAAAATGCTATTGATGAAACTGATTTTTGAACCCACTTTTTGTTGAGTGTCTCTGGAATTAACTGTTAAAACTATCTATGTTAAACTTTAGAAATATTTGTATTCTTAACTCTAAATCATGTATGTTTTTTCAGGTAACATTGGAGACATGTTTGAAATTGATGAAACTCTTGGATTGATCAGTGTCAAAAGACAGCTTGACAAAAACCAAAGAGGAGAATATAGTCTGATTGTAAAGGCAGCAGACAAAGGGAAACCACCACAAAGCAGTACCGCCACTGTCAATATTTACGTCACAATTTCCAATAATGCACCTCCAAAATTTACAGGCACTAATTACATAGCAGAAATTAATGAGGATATTAAAATTGGATCTAATGTTGCCGTTCTTGAAGCAAAGAGCCAGTCATCAGTTTATTATGAAATAATTCAAGGTAATGAAGGAGACAAGTTCGCCATAAATCCCAATTCTGGTGTGATTTACGTGAAGAATAAAATAGATTATGAACAGGTGAAATCGTATGATTTAATGGTATCAGCTGCTAACATTGTTGGTTATTCCGCTGTGACTACTGTTAAAATACATGTAATTGATATCAACGATAATACCCCAGAATTCAGTCGGCAGGTCTACGAGGGAACTATTTCTGAAGCAGCTCAGATTGCAAGTGTCGTTGTAACTACAGAGAATAAACCACTTGTCATTCACGCTACTGATCAGGATGAAAATGATAATGGCCGATTAAGATTTGAAATAATTGACGAAGATGCGAAGAAATACTTTGTAATTGATGCAAATACCGGAGCAATTAGAACTGCAGTTCTCCTTGATCATGAAACAATGAATAAGATTGAGTTCAGTGTTGATGTTTCTGATCAGGGAAGTCCAGTGTTAAAATCACATCAACCGGCCAAAGTAATAATACATATAGAAGATGTAAATGACCATGCCCCAGTATTCATGCCAAAGGGACTCTCCGCAATCCTCCTGTTACCTACAGCCAAGGGTGTACAAGTCACGCAGGTCACAGCAACCGACCCAGATACAAAATCATCGGATAATGTCAAATATCGAATTTTACATGACAACAATGGTGACAGTCATTTCAATATAGATCCATCATCAGGATTAATTACTGTGACAAATTATAATGAACTTAAAACAAGCTATAGTTTAACAGTTGAAGCTTCAGACGGAAAGTTTCAAACAACTTCATTTGTTAATATTACTGTGAAAACATCACACAGTAGTGGATTAGTGTTTAGTTCACAAGAATATCTTGTAACCGTTCCTGAAAATAAGGAAATACATGACAATCTGATGGTTGTCCAAGTAGTGAACTTCGCAAATGATCCTCTAGTGTTCAATCTTCTAAATGGAAATGATATGTTCATTATGGGGCAAACCTCTGGTGTTCTCCAAACCAAACAGAAAATGTTTGACAGAGAGGAAATTTCTAATTACGATCTTGTTGTTAGTGTTGAGGATTTAAATGACCCACCTCGTAAAGCACATGTTGTTGTTAAGGTCAATATTGAGGATGAGAATGATAACAGCCCTGTGTTTCTCAATCAGCCATACGATACAGTTGTTGCCATTAGTGCTAAAGTTGGAACACCTGTCAGACAGGTAGGCACAAATTTGTTATTAACATAAAAAGAGAAATAGAGTTGAAAGTTTTGTACAATTTTATCAAACAACTTTAACGTCAGTGCAAATTTCAAGCGTTACAAGTAAAAAAAAAATCGAAATGGTTGTATTAAGCAGTCACTTATATGCATGATTTTCATGTAGCTGTGAATTTTTAGAATATTATAGGGTTATTGCTTAATACTTGTACAATAACCCATTATAATAAAGTACCAATTTCAATATTATAGGGTTATTGCTTAATGTTAGTACAACAACCCATTATGATAAAGTATCAAATAGTTCGATGCAATATTATACCATTACAAGGGATTTAAAAACATAATCATATACATTCCTTTTACTTCTTCCAAGCTCTTTTGCATCAACAGCTGCATGATTTTTCTGAAGTCTGTTAACAAGTGCTCTAAGTTTATATTCTGATTCTATGTAGAGCCTACATGACATGAAGGATTCTAAAGGAAAAGTAATAATTGAATTTTTTTCAGGATGCAATATTTATTTCTGTTCATTGGAAAAGACTTTTTGGAATTCTTTATTTCTGTTCATTGGAAAAGACTTTTTGGAATTCTTTCCAAGAATGGCATGTAAAATTATCCCTGAATATTTTTTTATGATTTTTCAAAGTAATCTTCAGGAAATATATGTTATTATGTTGTTAAAATAGATGTAAATGACCCTTTAGAGTTCACTTATGAGTGCAACAATTAACATGCATAATATACTAATGATTAAATACCAGTATAAACAATATAGATGTGGTATGATTGCCAATGAGACAACTTTTCACCAGAGACAATAGGAAGAGGATGTAAACAACCGTAGGTTACTGCACGGCCTTCAACAATGAGCAAATCCATATCATATTGTAAGCTGTAAAAGGCACTTGAATGACAAAATGTGAAACAATTCAAAAGAGAATGACCAGATTTATGCAAAAAACAACATTAATAAAAAAAAATATGGCAGACGGCAACCAGCGACAAAGACTGGATTACTGTTTATCGAATATAATGAACAGTAATAGTATATTTGTTTTAAACCCAAAATTGATTTTAAATGTTATGTAATCTGTTATTTCTCAAGTACTATTCAATACAATGACTTTATATTTAGTCAGCCGCTTGGCAGCAATGAGTTGTAATTGTAACATGTGATCACTTTTTGGATCTGCCAGACACATACTTCCTGTTTTCTTATACTTTGATTTATGAATGGGGGTATGCTTAGCCATTTGTTAGTATGACATGATGATGTGCAATCTTGTAAATAAAAAAAATACTGTTTAAATTTATACTTCCTATGCTTATTTAGAACTGTCAGACATTCCAGAAAATATTGATCAACAAAAATAACTATATTACATAACAATAGTCTATTTGCCAATTACATATTTGATCATGATTATTACTCACTTTTGACATAGGTTGTTTCCCTTTGTCAATGGTAAACTGGTTCTATAGAGGACAAAATGGGCTGCTGTCCATGTAAAGCGTGATGAGTTAAAAGTGAAATATAGGTGTTTTACCCAATGTTTAATAATAATAAAAAATAGCTATTGATGTCAAAAGTTTTCTAGATTAACAAAATATTTTAAATGGAATGAAAAGATTTGAAAAACTTAAAAGATTACACACATATGAATTTAGTATTTTTGCTAACTCTTCTTTGTCAATAAAAATTTATGTCCATTCCAAGGGAAGTAACTCAAAAAGTCTCTAATTATGGGTCAATTAAGGAATTGGCAAATAGACTATTGAAAGGTGATTTTAACATTGTTTTGTGACAAATCTTTTTAGCATATTGACATATTTATATTCTGTTTTGTAGTTAACCGTTCAAGATAGAGATACAGGTGATAATGGAAAGGTGGAGTTTACAATGGCCAAGGGATATAAAGACAAATTCTCTGTAGATAAAGTGGATGGACAGGTTAAGTTGATGAGTCCACTAGAGAAGGCAGATGAAGGACAGACAGTACTGACCGTAATAGCCAGTGATTTAGGTAAAACTTGAGGAATCACACACAGTGGAAGTATTCATAATCTTTTGTCAAATCTGTTGTTCAGAAAAGTTATTTGTTACATCTTTTATACATGTGTTAACGGTATATAAAAAGGGCAAAAGATTCATGCACAAAAGGGTCGATCAAAAAAAATAAATTGAAAAACAGACAATACCATGGCCAAAAAAAAATCAACAAAAAACGCCACACAGAAAACTTAAGAATTGATCAAACCAAACCCCACAAAAAAACACAGGTAAATGTAGGTGTTTAGGGACAGTAAATTGTTCCTGCTTTACTAATGGCCCCTCTCATGTTGCTCTTGTCACGGAAAAATATGGTAATAAGTGGCATTCAGTGAAGTCACAATTGAGGAAAAGAGGACTGTATCGGGACTACAACATGATGAACATAGGTCAACCAAGCAAAGTATATGTTTCGTTACTTTTCACATGTATGCCTCTAAATATCAACAAACCTACAGTAAATCTGTCAAAGTATTTGAAGCTCGACAGAATCATCAGTGTTTCATGCATTTTAACGAAAACTCTATTTCTTTTTAAAAGATTGTAACAAGATTGTAACAAAAACATCTTATAAGTATACATTGAATAAAACTCAAGTCTCTGTATCTACTTGTCTAAAATCTACTAAACATTCTTGTATCAAATTTATTCAGGTTCTCCTAGCAAAAGTTCTTCTGTGAATGTCACTGTGACAATTATTGGTAGTGAACATCCAGTATTTGAGAAACAGTTCTATACCACCTCCATCAAAGAAGATGTAGCATTATTTACCCCGGTCATCAGCGTGAAAGCCTCAAGTCCAAATGGTCACAAACTTATCTACAGCATTACTGGTGGCGATCCATACAAAGAATTCTCTGTTGACTACAATATAGGTAGGTTATTTTACATGTTTCGATGGAAACACTATCTTCTTTGTGCTGGTGTGTTCTATCACAATGCACGGTTTTCCCAAATCTGAAAATAAATTATGACTAAAACTTTACTAAATAGGTCTTCACTATCTTCATTAACATTTATACTGTTAGTTTCTGTCTAATTATTTTAAACAGAATCAGTTGAATATGAATCTCAACATTTGTAATTTTCCTTTTTGGCATTACCTTCAACTGTTGATATGAAATTTCTTTAACCATCATTGATTAAATGGGGAATAAATTACTGAATGACGTCAGATAAGTAATAACAGAGAATTAAGTGTATTTAACAATAAAAATATATAACTACAGTAGACAGTTCAGAGCATGATGTGGGTTTTGTTGGTTTATACATATTTACATATCACACAGGTGGTACACTACACAAAACTTGAAGAGGTTTATGTTTCTGCTTGCTTTATTGTTCTATGTCACAGAGGTTAAGGAATCGGGAAAGTTTGATGTCTTGGACCTTTTACTACTGTGAAGAGCCTTTCATTATTTTGTATTTGAAGTCTGATAGACCGTTTAAGAGTAATCAGTGTATGCTTAGTAACAATTAATATAAGTAATAACTGTGATTACATTTCTCTGAAATTTGATAAGAGTCCTGATGGAAAATTAAACACGGAAGTCCAGACTTAATATATAGGAAAATTTTTGAGCCCCTTAAATTAGGAGGAGAAAATTCATTTGTTCTGTCATCAGTATATCAATAATTTTACAGTAAGTCCAAATCTAATAGAAAAATAAGGTTGAACTCTTGTCTACAAATAAATTCAACCAGTACAGAGAAGGAAGCTAAGATAAAAAATATATGTCAGACCCATTAAAAATGATTGCAGACAGAACTAAAAAATTATATCAGACAATCTACAAAACTTATGGCAAAGTAATGAAAAACTTTGTACAATAAAACGATAAAACAATATAATGTGAGACAGGCCCGAACATTAAAACCATACAAGTTGTAAGGTTTAGAACAAATATAATATTAAACTTTGTTTTGAAGCAATGTCTGACTTCACACAATAATAATGGTGGTGCTATAATACAGGGCTTCCAAAACGGTCATATATTCCGGACTTGACCGAAATTTATATAAAAAGTCCGGCTGCTCTTAGCCTCAAACGGTCAAATATCATAGGTTTGCCACTTTTTGTTATTCAAGGCATTTTCATAAAACGGTCATTTCACTTTTTTTACCAACTATCGATCGGTAAAAATGTCCGTTTGGGCATTATAGTTTATAATTGTGGCAATCTATTTCACAAAGATATTTCGGTCATATTTGGGTTTAATTAAACAAATGCAGCATATTTCATACTTTGAAGTGTCTCAGTTAGTCTACTCCTCTGGGTACACAAATGCACGGCTTGGTACATCAATAAAAAGTAGAAAAAACATTTGTTCTTTTATTTAAAAAACAACAAGCTTCTAACAATTATCCCTTCAATAAGTAATATTGAAGCCATAAATCATTCACTGATTACAGGTCATTACCTTTGATGAGAGACCTTAGCTTGTCTTAATCAATAGAATTGATGATGCATAACAATGACCATAAAGGTGATCAGGTAAACGAGGTCAAACATGTAAGCGTGTATGGAACAACATCCTATTTAATTACGCTTTGTAGATATTATTGTACATGAGCATTCAGTTTTAAAAAAGTATCCTTAGATTTTAAAATAATTCTTCAAATAAGAATATTTATAAATGAATTCGAATTTGTATGATATTCATTATTATATTTAAAAACACTGTACATCGTGTTTATACTGGGGTACGCTAAAGGGTGTTCAAAGTTATTTTCTTACATTTCAGCGGGTTGCATCTGATTAATTTAGTCTAAAAGATTGAAATTATAAGAAATACGTTAATAAATATGATTTGATGAAAAATTTGAAAAGGTTTTAAACGAATAATCGTCAGAACCACGTTGTTTGAACTAGTACACGTGTGCGCATGTGTCTATTGTCCGCTGGTGGGAAATTTAATTATGCATCCTAATTCTTCAATAATGCTAAAATTATCATTGATACCTTTATCTAACGTTCATTTCGAGTATTTTCTTGAAGAAATAACTGGAAAAGGCTACTTAACTAAATCGTAAACTTACACGGATATTACGTATCCGTCTCTGATCCGTGATTTACCATTGTCAAGTCAACATCCGGCATTAGGAAAATGTGATTTTAAAAACGAAAGTAAAGCTTTTGACAGCGTTATTTTGCACAAATAAAAGAGTCTAAAGCGGAATTAGGCATAATTAGTACGCTGATGTTGCACACTTCGAATGCTGCACTTTCAATTTAACACTTTACGTCAGAACATCGAATTTATATCAAAGTAAAGTTTAATATCGTTGTAATGTCAATCATTGGTTATATCATATATGATGGCCAACTGATTATCATAGTTGCCTAATTTACTAAGTCTAAAGGGATTTAAAATCGGGATAAGATATGAAATGTCCGGCTGGCTCAAATTTTTTTTGGAAGCCCTGCTATAATATAAATGTCAGACTTTTTGTTAGATTTAAAACAAAATAATGTCAAATTTAGTACAATGTACTGAAACAATGCAGACTTCATACAAAAATAATTTCAGCACTGAATAAAAATAACAAAAAAACTTGATACAACATTTATGTCAGGATTAGTGCAGACATACTACCCAGTCTTTTAGAAAGGAACCATATGTCTTCTTTTTTTTTAGTTTCTCTTGGTATTGTAATTTCTGTATTGAATCACGTATCGTTAAAACTGAATCTTTTGAAAGACTTTATACATTTGTAATTTCTTACTTCAGCAAAATTTCATCTTGATAATAAGCAGAGAAAAAATATTTTATAGAAATTAATATGGTCTGATTTTGCAATCATAAAACTTCAATTGCATAGTAACAATTGATGTATATATGTTCATTAAATATTCAGACAAGATAAATTGTTAAAACTTATTGTTTGATAAGACATTTATACTGCAATAAAAAATTAATATTTATAGACTTTAGAATGTTGAATTATGATATATGATATTAAACAAAAGATATTGATTTTTTATATTGTTCATAATTCATTAAATTGTAGATTTTAATTTTTTTTCTCTTGGTCAGAATTGAGGACAAAATAGTGTCTAAAATTGAGGACGGTTAAGATAAAAATTTGACACTGGGGTAGAAATAAGAAGTGTCCAACTGGACAAGGATCCAAACTCCTTTAATGGATTTAAATCCTTAAAATAAAATGTGTCCTTAAAATTGGGGGTAAAAATGAAAATAACTGGCCAAGCAGGCTAGTTGATCTTTGGTTAAGCTTGCTCTGTGTAAATTCTACCTGCCACAGACAACTGACAGGCCTATTATTTTGACCCCTGGTTACAGTTTTGTATCATTCCATGAACAATCTAAATATGCTGTTCTAACATTATTGAGGATAATGACTCTGTATTCTTCAATTTAAGAAACTGCTACATTTATTCAACATACAGTAATGTATGAATAAACATTTCAACATCGTATAATACATGTATCATCAAATCTAACTATCCTTGTGTCTTTTTTGTGCAATAACCGATTTGAAAGAAAAAATATGCTTGTGATATATTTTTTTATCATTGTTTTTATCATGCTTTTTTGTTATTATTTATGATTTTGTTTACTCCAAAATAAGGCAAAGATGTGCTGGGTCCATGTGAGTATCCCACATCAGACTTGCTTGAGTTATTTCCCCTTTTTAGTTTCCTGTTTGCTGCATGTTTTTGGTGGTTGTTGTGTGCGCCATTGCTTATAATTTGACAGAAATAGTTGTTGTGTTTAACATATCACTGACTTTTTCAGTCTCATGAACAAAGGCTGTAGTTAATATTTCTCTCAAATTCAAGTCGCTGCCATGGCTACAAACAATTGTTAGGTAATTTCTTAACTAAATATTTCAATTGAGAAGAACACCAAATTAAAGTTATGAAGATAAAAATTGTGCTTTTGTTTTTTTATGGCCATTGTAGACAAAGAAAAATGGTCAAAGAGTTAGTTTATGTACTTAATAATTCTGTATAAACAAGAATTCCAGACTTGCACTGGAAATTTTTTGCTGCTATTGGCTGTGAGCTTTTAGCGACTTTTAAGAGTATCGTGAATGTTGGTTATCTTCATGATATGATTGATTGTTCTTAGTTGATATTTTACTGTTATTTTAAATAGGTTATCTATTTATATACTGGCATAGTCATAACTTTATTCAATTAGTATTTTAATGCATCCTGTTCTCTGATGCCTGAAAGCTGCACTGTTGTGGTTCATTTTCAATTTTAATCAAAATTTGCAACAACAAAAATTCACACAGTTTTTTTATTTCCAATCTCGTATATCATTTGAATTTCATAATTTAAAGATACATTGAAAAGCCTGGCAGAGGTTTGAATTGGAGATGTTTAATCATTGTTTTTGATTCAAAGAATTCCTTTGAGATATTGTTAATAAAATATTAATCCATTTAATGTTAGGGGAAGGGTCAAAATAGTCTAGCAAGTTTGCAGATCTTAATTATCACAAACTTTGCTAAATGGTTACAATGTTAAGGAAACATTAACTTTTATAATCATGCTTTGATTAATATATTTGAATTCTGATACATTCTTTTTTATCTTGTTCCACAAGAAGACAGAATTTTTTTTTAGCTTCTTGTTGAGTGTTGTAGATATACACTTTACTACAATAGGTTATCACTGTATGGAATATGATATTCAAGAAAATGGTTGACTCAGGTTTACTAACTTATGGTTGCACTGCAGCATTAGTAAATTAAGCGTTGTGCTAGCTAAACAGTTGAGTAGTGTACGCTATATTTACTTGTGCTGTTAGGCGACTAGGTTGGTGAAATGTTGGCCAGTTGTATTCTTGATCTTCATACTCCTAGTGATTATGTTTCAGTGTTGTAAACATTGTTGTTGTAGTATTTCTACCTAAAGACAATTCTGTAGAAAAACACATGATATCTTTCTGCATGTTACCCCTATTGAAATGCAAAATGAAATTTGTTCTAGATTTTAACTGAGCAATTCTTGTCAAAAATCTATTTTAAAGACAGGGAACATTAGGCTTGGACATAATTGAGTAATCATTCTTTACAACTTCATCATAACTTTATCATAAATTGTTTAAATTTAAAAAAAAATAAATATCAGACTTAAAGTTAAAATATGCATAACTGTACATAGCACATGTCAATGACAGAAAGAAAAATTTATCTCGCATGTTGAGGCTACTTGACACAGTAGAATTCTACACTATATGTTTGATCAGCGAAATTTAACATTTTAACATCAGATAACTTATTTTGACTCAAACTCAATAGAACAATGTTTTCTAAAATCACTTTTCTGTATTACAGCACACAATGGCTTCAGGCTAGTTAAGCATTGCTTTTTTCTTTCTTTTCTCTAAATTTTTTTACGCAGATTGTTATAACTCAATATTCAATAATATCAAGATGTTGTATTAATCGTGTTAATCATGTTAATCAGGAATTAACTAATACTTTACTTTTTTACATTACATTTTGAAACACAGTTATATTTTGCTATGCATATTTGGTTCATCTTTAAGATTTATAGTTGGCAGTTTGGTAATCATGATATTCATAATTTCACCCGACTGACCAGATTATATGTTATATAATTACACTTAAAACTTATTAAGTTCTACACCAAGATAAACAAGAATTTACCATAAATAATAATAGTCAGTGCATGGGAAAAGTATTTATATATAAATTGAGTTGAATAGTAGTATCCAAGTAATAAAGACCAGAGATAGACGGTACAAAGCTACTTATTAGATGAAATTTTACAGTAGAAAAGTTTTACCCTGTGTTGTTTGAATTACCCTTGTAAAGATTAATTACAGTAGAAATGTTTAGCTCTTTTTGTTGGAATTACCTTTGTACAAATTACCTTGGTGTTAAATGTAAACCAAAATCTCTGTCAATTTTACCAGTAAATGTTTTATGTAGATTAAATAGAAAGATTTAGTATATACTAGGAATCTGTATCTATGTTAAATTAAAAAAGAAAGATGATTGTAGGACAAGTATTATAATTACTGATTTTTTTTCCCCATTTTCATGGCAAGTATTATCTTTGAATTTCAGGTGTTGTTTCGGTTGTTAGCCCTCTAGATTATGAGTCAACAAAAGGGTACGATCTTACATTAACAGCTAAGGATGTCAAAACTGGATCTGTAGCAGAAACCAAACTGAGAATAAGTGTTGTGGTAAGTATTCCTATATTAACCAGGATATATTAAAGGATATACTTGAAAGTCATCATGTTATATCATATACTGTAAAAGGATCAACTTTCATGGAAAACCACTTTCCATTATTTTTTCGCAGAGTGTTACCTAGAAAAGGGAGAGAGAAAAACAGTTGTTAAAAGAATGCGTATAACTTTTGTATAACAGTTAAAATAGATAGTTCTGAACATTTGGCGTATAAAATTTATTCCTTTACAATACATTCAACAATCAATGTCATTGTAATACTTTTACAGCAAAATGACTTGAGTGTGTAGGTAAAGGTAATATCTTTGGCTAGCTTGCTTGCTAGCAGAACCATGAAGTCATTATAAGTCCCCTACCGCCGAAGTCGAAGGGGACTTCAGATTTGCACTCCCTCCGTCTGTCTGTCTGTCTGTCCGTCTGTCTGTCCTTCTGTCAGTCCGGCAAATCAGTTTTCCACACTTTTTTGCTTCATGCTTGAAGATATTGATTTGATATTTGGTATATTGTTTTATCATGACAAGTTACAGATCAAGTTCAAATTTTGTTTCGGTCTGATAATTTTGTGCAGAGTTATGGTCCTTGGACTTAGAAAATTCACTCAAATATTCAGGATTCCGCACTTTTTTTTGTCATGCTTGAAGATATTGACTCGTTATTTGTTATATAGTTTACACCATGACAAGTTATAGATCAAGTTAGCATTTTGTTCCAGTACAATTAATTTTTAACCGGTAGGGGACTATGTATTGCCATGCAATACTCTCAGAATGCTTGTTAGGGTTAGGTATACTACCCTCCTTTAAGAGTAGACTAGTCCGACAGATAACCAATCTATCTATCTGTAGGACTAGACTACTTGACAGGAGGGTAGTATACCTAACCTTATAATGATTTCACGGTTCAGCTAGCAAGCAAGCTAGTCAAAGATATTACATTTACCTACACACTCAAGTCATTTTGATGTAAAATAGATGTAAAGAGCTCTATTGTTATATTTTTAATTCTCCAACAATTGACATCTAAGAAGTTTGAAAAAGGATTATGCAGCATGTATTTTGAAATTTTTAAGTGACCCAATAGGTTTATAATTTCCATATACGCCACCAGGCTAGGTAAATTGTTTCATAGATTATCTGTATTCTATTTCAGGATGTGAACGACAATAAACCAGTATTTTCTAAGTTCAAATACACTAGTTTGCTGTCAGAATCTGTTCCTATTGGTTCTTCTGTTGCCATGGTGACTGCTACTGATGCAGATGTTGGAACAAATGGCCAAGTGTACTACAGCTTAGTATCAGCACATATCGACAGTGAGGATGTCAGCCATTTTGAGATCGATTCTGAATCTGGTCACATAATTACCACCAAGATATTAGATTATGAGGAGCAGCATGAATTTAATGTCATTGCCATAGCAACTGATGGCGGTTCAAACAAGCATTTTACAACAGCGCCATTACACATAATTTTACAAGACTTAAATGATAATCCTCCATACTTTGTACAGAAATCATATGATTGTACAATATTTGATCAACCAAGCAGTTCATATGTTGTCAAGGTAATGGCATCTGACCCTGACCCTTGTAGTGAAGGTAATTTACAGTATAGCATTGTTGGTGGAAATATTGATCAGGTTTTCCATGTGAATCAGCAGACAGGATTGATCAGTTTATCCAGCAGACGTAACAGCCAACTCCAGCATGCATATATTCTTAATATATCTGTCACTGATGGTGTCTTTACTGCATTCACTCAAGTTAGTCTGTCCGTCAAAAGTTCCAATAACCATACACCAATGTTCACAAGACAGTTGTATAGAGCAACCATTCTAGAGAATCTTGGGAAGGGAATGATTGTCACCATGGTAACAGCTTTTGATGAAGATCCAGGAACCAATGGGATGTTGACTTATTCCATACCAAGTGACGAGATGAAGCAGTTCTTCAGTATTGATGCTGATACAGGTAGGATTTATATCAGAACAAAATAGAGAAGTCCTCTAAATTCATAGAACTCTTTAAAACAAACAATATAAATCCTTTAGGTCCCTTGTAATAAAAAAAATAGAAACTATTGAATTTTATTACTATTGAAATAATAAACTGTCAGATTTGACTATAGTATGAAACATATTCTGTTGCGTTCACTGTAACTTTTTTGAATTTCAATGATTCATTGTTACGTTAACTTTTGCATTGAATGATTTCTATTGTAACTTTATAAAGCAATAGTGTTTATTTGAGCTGAATGGGAAATGTAAATAGTGAAATTTTCATACTCACATCTTTGCATATATTTAATTTCTTTACAATGATAGTTAATAATATTAATAAAGAACAAACTGTCCTTTACAGGTGAAATATTTTCTGAGTTTGATTTTGATCGAGAGAAACGTGACTTCTATCAGATACCTATTGCAGTAACAGACAATGCTGGGAGAATAGGATTTTCAATGGTTGAAGTTACCATTAGGGATCTTAATGACAATCCTCCACGTTTCCTGAGAAATGAATATAAACTTGTTGTCTCCCCTGGTGCTGCTGTTAACTCTTCTTTCTCAAAGGTACTTTTTTATACATTTTTAAAAGGTATTTTAATGTGTTTGAAATTCTGATTATTGTAGGCCATATTTCGGTTTTCGCTCTTGTTGATGAACAATTTAGGAAAAAACTTATAACCTGACTAGAAATTACCATATCAAGAAAAAAATATTTAGCCCAAATTTATTGCTGAATTCTTTTCCTTTTTATACCATTTATGTAAATAAAATTGTAATTGTTCATTAGTTAGAAAATAACAGTACTTTAAATGAAGATTAGATACATATGTTCTCTCTAATTATACAGATTGAAGCTGTGGATATGGACAAAGGAACAGGAGGCAGAGTGAGATATGAACTAGCTAAACTAGAGAAACTGTTTGACATTAATCCTTATACTGGAGATCTCATAGTCAAAATGGATTTGAAGGATTTCGGTATGAATTATAAATACTTTAACACTACATTTAATTGATTTTACTATATAACATAAACACTACATTTCAATAATTTAACAGTATTACTTTCATTGAATTTGCTCAGCAATGGCTGTTGGATAGTTGTAAAGCTCTCAGTACTCTTTCTCTTCAATTAGGTGCAATTCTGTTTGGTTGTGTTGGATACATAAACAAGAAAACATGTTGGCAGTGTAATTTACTGTATACACATTAAAACATTTTTTTAATATGGTAAATTTAAGAAAAGGACCTCTACCTAAAATGGCTGAATTTTCTTTCTTCTTTATTTTATGGTAAATTTAAGAAAATTACCTCTAACTAAAATGGCTTAAATTTCTTTCTTCTTTATATTCCTGCTTTTCGAGTGGCAGTCATTTTCACAGTACCCATCTTTATTTAATTTCAAATTTGTCTTAGTCCTGAATAAATGTGTGAAGTACTTGCAATTTGACATCGGGCAAACAACAATAAAATTGATTCAACTCTTGTTTTTTTTTTGTTTTTTTATAAATTATACCTTAATTTTTTTTCAGCTAATCAAGTGTACCAGTTCTTTGTTCATGCTATAGATGAAGGTGATCCTATTTTAGACTCATCAGTTGCTGTTCAAGTTTATGTTATGGGCAAAAATGATATTGCGCCAAGATTCCAAGCTTCCAAGAAAATGTATTTTACAGTATCTGAAGATGAAACGGTATTTAGTCGTCTTATTGTTGCTGAGAGTCACATTCCAGTGAAGTACTACATAATACATGGAAATACTCCCGATACAAACTATCCTCCATCATTTGAAATCAGTCATGGCGGTAAACTGAAATTGATTAGGAAATTGGACTATAACGATATTCAGAAATATCATTTAACTGTACAAGCCAAAACTATCAGTACTCCTTCATTGTATGATTATGTAGAGGTTATAATTATAGTTACAGATTCTAATAATAAAGACCCTGTATTTGAATCGGACAAGTATCATACAATGGTTATAGAGAACAGTAAGCCAGGGGACCATGTTATTCAAGTTCGTGCCATGGATGAAGATTCTGACTTTGAAATCAGATACAGTTTTGGGGAGGATAGTAGTGGAATGTCCAAAATATTTGACCTTGACTCTATAACTGGTTGGATTTCATTGATTAACCCATTAGACAGGGAAACCACTGACCAATATAATTTCACCATTGTTGCCACAGACATTAAAGCACAAAGGGAACAGAAGAGTTTCACGAGAGTCCTTGTGGATGTAACAGACCAGAATGATAATCCACCGATTTTCTCCCGTCCATCCTACATTGCTGCTGTAAATGAAGGAGCTGCTTTAGGTACTGTATTACTAGAACTTTCTACCACAGATGAAGACATAGGAGCTAATACCAATGTAGAGTATATAATCATTGATGGTGATAAACTTGGAAAGTTCCATGTACGAGGAACTGGAGAGGTTATTGTGAATAAACCTCTGGATCGTGAAAATGATTCCCAATACACACTGGTTGTAGCTGCTACTGATGGAGGGATGTCAACAATGACGAAGGTTACCATAACTATACTTGATGATAATGACAATGACCCTGTCTGTGATGAGGTTTGTATATTACGTTTTAAGAGGTGGTAGGATGGGGTATCAGCCCGAATTCTGGAAAAAATAAATGTTGAATTCTGAATTCTGGAAAAATTAAACAGTCTTTCCAGGATCCTGATAAAATAATCATTAATTTCAGAGTACCGGTTAGAATAAATCCAGAATTACTTCAAAAATAGAGGCCTATTCCCGACATCTTGAGAAAGGTCCTTCCACCACTCTTTTTATGATGAATAACGAATGGTATTTTTGATAAGTTGATGATAGATTTCCTTGTAAATTTGTGTACACCATAATCTTAGTGTGTTTAACTTTACCTCTTTGTTTTGTTGGAAGGTTGTAGTTTAACATTACATTATTGTGAAGCGATCTGTTCTTGTCAAATGTACAGTTACCGTAAATCTAGATATAAATGGATAAATTTGTTTTTAATCAAAAATTGAAATTGAAATGTTAAATCATTAGATCTTGCTCCACAGTAAGTGCATTTAAAACTATTGCCATAAAGTTATTCATTGACCAGAAATCTGACAGATTTCCTTATTAAAAATTTTTACTTTTGCAGCCCATTCATCCATTGATTCTGTCAGAAGAAAAATCAGTCGGAAGTATAATTGTTCGTGTCAAGGCAACTGATGCAGATGATGCATCAACTGTTAATGCAGAAATTAGCTATGTCATTAGGGCAGGCAACGAGAAGCAGAAATTTAACCTGGATAAAAGTACAGGTAAGCAATAGGATTCAATATTATTTAAAACTGATTTGTTTCTTGAAAAATTTTAAGAAATTTATGCCTAGTGTAACTATATTAGTTTAAAAAAACCTAAGAAAGTTGGATAAACATAATCTTTTAGAAAGCAGACTATAACAGTAGCCCCCAAACCATTAAATTAACTTACTGATATGTTGTGTTTTCAGGTATATTGACTGTAAAATCAGAACTTGACAGAGAAGAAATTGATAATTACCACCTGTCAATTAATGCTGTGGATGGAGGAGGCAGAACATGTGACATAGATGTATTTATAGATCTGAGTGACATTAATGATAACAGTCCACGCTTTATTGACATTCCAGAGACTTTCCAGGTGATAGAATCCACACCAGCAGACACATTGTTAATGAGAGTTAGAGCAGTGGATGATGATTTAGGTAAACTATAATAAAGACTTGAGTCGTGCGGATGCACTTGACTCCAATCTTAATTGACTATGATTGTCAGTTTTCCTATCGAAGGTCGTTTTTTTCTTTGGGCACTCCGGCTTCCTCCACCAATAATACTGGCCGCCAAGAAATAGCCCAAAAGCAGTGCTTAAAAGTGGCGTTAAAACACCAAAAATCAAATCAAATCAAGTAAAGACTTGAGTTGAAATGAAAAGATATTTATGTTAAAAATTAGAGGATCAACCAAGAAAGATTCCTGTAAAAAGACACATTAAATACTATATATGAATTAAAGGATCGTTTTATTGCTGTTCTCCTTCTTTGCTATAAGAAAAAATCAGCACAATCAACATAGTTTGCTATTTGCTCTTTGTAGAGGTTTTTAAGAATATTTACATCTCATTTGTTGTTGATTGATTAATGTTCAGCAGCAACTATTTTAAGGATATTTATTTCTGATTTTTTGTCGTTTGTTAAATGTCCAGTGGCCTATTTCATGCTCATTTAGGACCATTCTGATTTGTATATTCAGGTATAAATAGACAAGTTAAGTACAATCTGAAAGACGATGCTGATGGTAGCTTCACACTGGACCCAGAAACAGGAGTCATAACTCTTGTGACTTCACTTGACAGAGAAAAGAAAGATCTGTACAAACTGATGTTGGAAGCCTATGACATGGTGAGTATAATTAATATATTGATTGTGCCTTCTTAATTTCACCTCTGTTCAAAAGGGCCATATTATTGAAAATATAACTATTTTATAGTAATCTAAGAAATGATTTATAGGTACATTATTTTAAATGATACATTGATTATGTGTTTGAAAGAAATGAGTATAAATCTTGAAAATGAATCTCTTTGCTGTTATAAAAGAAAAACTCTGAAATAAAATGGGAAGAAAAGACTTAATTATTAAATTATTTTATCCATAAATTTTTACTATAAAATGTTTATATTTTAGGGAAATCCAAGCTTGACGGGAGAAGTCCTTCTAAAAATAGCCGTACAGGATGAGAATGACAACCCACCAGAGTTTGTACGTAGCAGCTACATTGTATCAATCATTGAGGATTCCAGCATTAGCTCTGATGTAGTTACAGTCACAGCAACCAGTAAAGACATAGGAATCAATGCTAAGATGTTGTATATGATCTCAGCTGGAAATGTTGACGGACATTTTAATATTGATACTGATACTGGTAAGTCATTGACTTGTTTTTTAACATGTGCAAGCTCTTTATGGTCATGTATGGGGTTCATCTCATCTTAGTGATTCCTGTAAAAATTTTGCCGTAAATGCATAACTTACGAATGTTGTTCATCTGAAATCAGTGATTAATGTAAAGAAGTTGCATTTTTGACATAACTGAAAATGTGCACTAAGGAAATGATAATGCTTTTTGTTTTTGTATAAGAAAATGAAATCATAACATGATAGTGTCACATGGACAATTACTACAGCAGTGATTTAGAAAAACATCATTCAAGTAATTCACTATATAAGCAATGACAACAACTCACTTTAAAAAGTTCATATTTTTACTGTTAATGTATCTGAACCATAAAAAAAATAGAGGTCAAATACTTATTTTGGTAAACAAAATAGATAAAACAATAAACTAATTTTGGAATTAATGTAATACTGTAAATTCAGAAATTATTGCGTGCATTTATTATTGTCATTTTAGACTAAAATGCGATTTTAATTTTTTGCGATATTGAGAAAAATCCTGTTTAATTCATATATAAAATTTCAAAATGCAAGTTTAAATTATTGGGATTATAACCCTGTCGCATTTTTCGCAATAACAAAAACATCGCAATAATTTCTGAATTTACAGTATTCTTGAGTAGCACTGACTTAAATCACAACGTTTGCTTTGCAGATAATATATGGTTTGTTCAATAGGAATATGATCACCATACTTAAATTTCATTCAATTTTCAGGTATGATACAAGTGGCTAAGACATTAGACCATGAGACAACATCAGAATACATCCTAACCATCATAGCACATGATAGATCCTCCGCCCCACTCAGTAGTTCTACGTTTGTTACTATAAATGTGACAGATGTCAATGATAACCAACCAGAATTTGTACAGAATCCATACAAACTGACTCTCAAGGAAGATGTGCCTGTTAATGAAGTCATTCTACATGTGAGTCAACAATTTTTTGAAGCATTATTTTTATTTTTAGTTGACTTAGGGCTTTTCCATTAATCTTAATACACTGGACCCTGGGTACAACTAGATATTGAAACAAAATTGTGCTCAAATTAGGATTATGTATAGGTTCCCCGTATAGATTTTCTTTATTTTTTCATACATTTCAAATGTCACAATGTTACAGTATGAGTTGATTGTTCAAGAAAGTCATTTACCCTGATTGACCTCAAGTAAAACGACGTAACTCATTCATTAAAAGGAACTAGTAATTTTTTCTATTCAGATTGCCATCCTTTGGTACTATGGCACACACCTTAAATAGCTTATGATTCATGTAAGTAGGTTGATACCAAATTTCAACCAATGATAACGATCATGGAATTTATTTTTTTATATTTGGTTTCGTTTAAATGAAAACTTTATAAATAGCAGTTTGTTCAGGGAACCAATTTACACATTTCACATAGAAGGCATGTAGATGGCTTAGTAAAAACACTTTTTGAAATTACGAGTTTTATTCTCAACCCTGCACCAACTTAAAAGGCAGGTAACTCCAATGTTAGTGCAGTACCGGTCATGAAATTAACATAGAACTGTCAATGTCATTTATAAATTATTCCAAAATTTTATTTGCAGTTGACAGCATCTGATGCAGACACCAACTCCGTCATTCTGTATTCTATCATCAAGGGAAATACAATGAACAAGTTTGATGTCAATCCTAAAGATGGAAAACTTCTGATAAAGAATAACCTAGACAGAGAAATGGTATGGCAACTGTTTGATATAATGTCAGGAATAATGAAATAATTTGTAATTTTTTAAGAACATTTTTTTCTATTGGAATTTTACATTTTTGAAAAGAAATACTGAAGAAGAATTCAGTCTAATAATATTTGATAGTATTGATGAATAAAACAGGTATTTTTTGGTTCGGTATATATTAATTGGTTAAAAATATGATATACAGTTCACTGAAGTGAATAAGTGATACACATTGATAATCTTTTTTCAGGTAAACAATTTTGAGCTAACTTTAAGGGCATCTGATGGTCAGTTGAGCAGTGAGACATTGGTCATTATTGATGTATTAGATGTTAATGACTGTCCTCCTAAATTCTCCGAAGCCAACTACTCAGCTGTTATACAGGTAGGTCTTGTCAAGCAAGTTAAAAAGACAGACAAATAAATGTTCACTTTCTAGCAAACTTTTTCATAAAAAAGTAAATCTGTGATGGGTCATAGTACTTCCATAATGATTTATACATGTAGAACTTTATTGCTATTTTAAAATCTACAATACTTGATTCAAGATTTGTGCCACTTGACCTATTGACTTCATACAACATTCACTTTTGCACTGTAGGGTCGAAAATTTTCTCTTTTGATGAAAAATTTACAGGAATGCCTGTGATATCCAGTTATGGCAAACAAATGGAGATATGGGTCTGCAACAGGCTTTTTAAGGAGGCCATTTAAGATCGGTAGCTCTGTTGATATAATATCATAATAGAAAAAATATGTTTAAATATTAAAAGTTGACATTTTTGTTAAAAAAGCAAAAGGTTATCTTAATTTAGTGTGATAAATTCAATCTATTTCTGAGATTAATTGGGCAGAATTAAGCCTCAAAACAAAGAATTTTTGAATGAGTAAAATTTATTTAGAATTTTTTTATATATAGATATGAATACAGTTTATTTCAATTTTCTTATGTATGAAAGAACCAGCCATTTCCAAAAAAACTTGACATTCAAACTTCAGAAACATAAGGGATGACAAAATATCATATAATTTGCTTCCCTGGTAAAGTCTAAATAATACTGTACATATTTCACTAATCAACATTAATGAAGGAAGATGAGTGCATTTGCGACCATCTGCAATGGTCATAGAGCATATCCCTCACAGAAAAAGAGATATATATGGAAGAATTTTTTTCCCTATATATTAGATTTGCAGACAAAGATAAGTTTCAAAGAGGAAATTCTTGAAGTCATTTATAAAAAGAAAATCAAATGGAGTACATTTTATATTTACCAGTGAAACTTGCTTTTTAACTGTATTACATATTTAGTCAAAATGTTTATATGCACGTGTTTATGGTAAAGTCCTTGTCAAGTGTTATCATCTACTTAAGACTTCACATTATCATGTAGTTTCACCATTCATTATTGCTTATTTGCATAATATTATGCCATTCACTGCATTCACAGAGACCACGGGAGGGGAATGTAAGTAGAATGCCACGCACAGAATGTGCATGCCAGGGCATGACCAAAAAATTTCATATTTGCTTTATTATACCATTTTTAAGACAAATAATTGCAATTTGTTTTATGAAAAAAAGAGATCTTGTTATGTTGCCCCCTTTTTTTTTGTATTGTTAAAATGTACATACTTGTTGTAGTAAACCTTGACTTGTTTATTATCCTTAGTTTGAAAATCTTTCCTTTAAAGTGTACCATATTTAGTCAAGAATTTTTTTAAATGAAATGTGGACAAAAAATGAATTATTTTTATTGAAAAATTAAAATTCCCATGCAAAATATTATTAAAATTTAGAATGACAAAAATGACACTTTAGACATTGCTATTTGTTTTTTGTTGGGTTTTTTTTATGAAAAAATAATAGCTGAAGTTTACATTAAGTTCATGGCAAATTTAACACCAGTTTATGGTAGAACAAGGTTTACTTTATATCTGTTTTGTATTGCTTTACATGTTTACTGTTGAATTTTTAAAGCATATATTGTATTGTACAAGAAAGTGTTGTCACAGGATGACCACAGCACTTAATATTTGACATAATTTACATATTGTTTGCCCAAAATGAGCATGAGTCTGATGAGTGTTCCATGACCCTAGTTTTCCATCACTACAGAGTTTTGTATTTGCATGAATATAGATCCCTTTTACAGACCAAATTTCAAGTATAAAGCCATGTTTCAGCTATTTATGTATGCATTGTTCTGTGCATGAATTAATAAGATACGATTGTTTCTAGTTGTAGTCCCAAATTGATAAGCAAACATGGATTTTGAAGTTATTAAAACGAGATGAGTGATAATGGGGCATGAGATTACAAAACACAATATTCTTGGCAATAAACAAAAAAAATGCTGAAACAAGAGACAAATAGAACCTTTAATCTTATATTTCTGAAAATAAAGTTAAATAACAAAAATCAATTTTGGTATTTGTATATATAATACAAAATCATTAGAGTATAGACATTTCACACTAGAATTACAGAAAAGAGTTACCAACTAATACAATAATTATATATTCATTATGATTAGTTACTTGTTTTTTTGATTTTATAACTAATAAAGCAATGTGTATTTGAACAGGAGGACAGACATGTTGGATATGAAATTCTGTCATTCTCTGTAACGGATGATGATTTACCGCCAAATGGTGAACCTTTCTCCTACGACATCGTCAGCGGTAACCAAGGTGGGGAATTCATGGTTAACTCGAATGGTGTATTGACCACTGCCAGGAGATTCAATCGTCATGTTCAGAACCTTTATAATTTGGTAGTCAGAGCTTATGATTTTGGAAGTCCTCTTCTTCATTCTGAAGTTCCAGTTGTGATCGAGATCATTGAAGAAGGCAATAATCCACCAAAAGTTTCCGATATTGATATTTCTGTAATGTCATTCAAAGATTCTTTCCCGGGAGGTATTATTGGAACGTTAAATGCTGTGGATGAGGATATATTTGACGAGCTAACTTTTGAGATTATTTCAACAAATAAGAATCTTTTTGATATAGATAAATATGATGGTAGAATAATGGCATTTAAAAACATTGATCCAGGAAGGTACAATGTTAATATTAGCGTGACAGATGGTAGATTTCAAAGTTATGGAATCGTCAGTGTTGAAGTTGTTGGAATTTCAGATGACATGATAAAAAATTCTGTAACAATTCAGTTCCATAGCCTTAGCGTGGAAGACTTCTTTAATAAACATCTTAAAGATTTTAAACGTGTTTTGAAAAGAGAATTGAATGTTAGGTCAAAGGATGTTGAAATCATTAACGTACAAACATCTAAATTTGCTTCATCTTCATTTGGTAAAAGAAGAAAACGAGACATTAGCTCTGACCTTGATGTCCTCTTTGTCATTAAAAGAAACCAGAATACATTCATGCGTGGCAAACCTCTCAGTAAAAAAGTGGGAGCAGCTGTTCCAGCCATTGAACAAGCACTTCAAGTAAAAGTCATAAAGGTGTTTGGTGACATATGTACACATAGTTCATGTAAGGAAGGCGAATGTGAAGGTTATATTGAATTTGACTCGGACAATCTGACACCAGTAAGGATGGGGAGTAAGAGTACTGTCACAGCTCGTCATCGATACTTATACAAATGTGTTTGTCCCGATGGATCAACAGGTACGGTTATAAAATATAAAAAAATTTTTACAGGAATTTTATAAATAAATCAAGTTCTTAATCATATAATACTTAGATTGCTGTTTACAATTCAATGGTTTAAAAAATTCATGATAAGCAAGCATCACTCTTGTTGGTATTCAAAACTTTTCACAGAGTTACAATTTGGCGATTTCTAAGGCTTAATAAATTCTTTTCATGATATTTCATTTTTTTGCAATTTTCTTGTATGTATTTCTGATCTTCATTTAAGACTTATCTGTAGGCAAGGGAATATTTTTTGTGATTTGCTCTCAATCATGCAACTGGTGAAAATATACTCTTCATGAAAATTCACACTTTACAATAACAAACAAAATGACTGTGTTTTAGATGACAGTTGTGATAAGATACCTGCAGTTTGTCCTGATGATGCCTGTCCACAAACCAAGATGTGTAAGATGAATTCTGACCAGAGAGGTTACCTATGTGTGTGTCCCCCAGGGATGTCAGGACAGCACTGTGATGAGGAGGAGAACTTCTGTACAGACTCTAGCTGTAGAATAGGTATGAGTCAGACAACCTCAGCAACGCTTTTTGTACACTTGTGTCTTCTTCCCATCTGTAGGGGAGAAAAATGTTGGGTAGGGCCAAAAATAAAATTTAGATTGTTTGATGTTGCCTACCTACCCACCTAAAAAGCAGTCTATGTTTGATGTTGCCTACCTACCCACCTAAAAAGCAGTCTACCTGAAAAATGTTATGACACAAATCGGTCCATTTTTCCTGCTCTAACGTCATTTTCTTTTCTAAAACATGTAATTTATGTTATTGGGCAAAAAAAAAATCCCTACCTACCTACCCAACCCTTCAAAGCATGGATAAGCAACATCAAACAAAGAATTTTTTAAGGGCGGCCTAGTCAATCTATTTCAATCAATATTAAATCATTAGTGTATTTTTGCATCAGTTATTAGATAAATTCTGTAATGATGGGGATAGTTGAAAATGAACTCAATAAATCAAATTAAAAATTAAATTTTTGTTGTGTTCAATACATCCCTTAGTGTATGCCACCATTGAAAGAAAAGATAACTGTTTCCCTTAAATTTTAAGCATCACGACAGAAAATAATTGACTGCACAAAGAATACTCAGAGCTAATTAGAATCAGCCAAAGGTATTAAACACACTTGGAGTGATATAACCAAAAGGGACATAAAAAATTAGCCATGCTGTCCAAGATCAAATTTCATGTCTTATACAATTAAAAAAAAGTTAGCATGTTTGTAATAAACAAAATATAGGTATTCATATGGCCAATGTGACACATGAAAAGCAAATGACAAAGTGTTGAAAACTAGATTAAGAATTGGACTACATTCAAGACAACTCATATGATGCCATTTTAGATAAGTTAATTTATGTATTACATGTATTTCAGGAGACAAGCCAATGACATTCTCTGGTAAGAGTTATGCCAAATGGACATTACAGGATGCCTTTACTATAGAGCAGAAACTGACATTGTCCCTGAGAATAAAGACCAGAAAACAGGTGGCTACCATTATGTATGCTAAAGGCATAGTGGACTATAGCATTCTAGAGGTAATTACATGTTAAGTGTTTATGATAAGTCACAACTTTATTATAAGTAATTTGAAAAAAAGAACATTAGTTGTATATTTTTCAAATAGTGAGACTTTACATCTATATGAATCTAATCAAGATTGTTCATTCCCATATTTTAGAAAATGGTGTAAACCATTGTTAGATTAATTTTATATTCAATTTTCATTCAGTTTAACTAATTTGTACATTACCATAACAATGAAAGCTTTGGGTCAGATGTAAATCGAAACTATCTTGAAAAAATGTTGTCTTGAAGGGGAGGTAATGGAAGGTATCTTAATGTTGCATCCTCCATCCATACATTTTGATAGAAATTTTAGTAATTGATTTTTCAAATTATGTGTGAAACAAGACTATCGTACTGTTCTAAAATATTTGAAGTAGCAATGAAGATTTGTTAAATATTTTTGTGTGCATATTTTAACAACTCTGTACATAACTCAAAGTATTCCTAAATTTCCTCTATTTATAACTATTTGTCCTTGTAATTTTCCTTTTAGATATACAATGGAATGCTTCAGTATAGATTCAACTGTGGGAGTGGTGAAGGGATTGTTATCATCCCATTGTTGATCAGTGATGGGGAATGGCATACTGTCATGGTGGAGAGATTTGGCAAAACAGCTGAGCTCATTTTAGATCACACCTACTCTAGTATGACCATGTCACCAGGAACTAATGATATCCTTGACCTTAAATCTAACAATGTATTTTTTGGTGCTGAAGTTGAGGTTTACAATGGCTACTCTGACATCAGAAGAGGGTTTGAAGGATGTATGGAGAACATACGTTTGTACAATGTACGACTGCCATTTGATGGAAGTAATGCCATTGCCTTGGATCAAGAGTTCAAGTATCTACAGTTCCATTGTAAAGACACTTACCAGAGCCCTACTGGAACAAGTATGTCTATTTCAAAAATATTCCAAGTAATATTTTCCTTAAGAATTATTTCTGTATTAATCTGCAGTTGAAAAGGTTAATATTTTATGATTGAAGCATAAATATTGTTTGGTGCTGTCAGCATGGTCAGTCAGATAGCTTATGCTTTGGAAGTTTTATTCTTCTGACTGATATAATGACGTCTTGAAGTATCTTGTAACATTTCAAATTTTTCTTGGAGAGATAAAATTATAGCAGTTTATGTATTATTTCTATTAGTTATGTTGTGGAAACATTAAAGAATTCCCCAGAAAGGTTTAATGACTTTAATAATTTGATATATCATCAGTATTTGGAACCATAATTTATTTATCTCAATGAAGTCTTATTTGGTTATTGTCTTTAAATTAAATTGATTATAGTCTTATATTTCAAATCTGCACAGAACAACTGTACCTCTTATTATTTACGATATAAAGTTTTTGACATCATAATTTACCATTACTTCCAACTTATTACATTATTTAACTGTCATTGCTTATTATGAAGAATTTTCTTTACAGATATCTGTAGCACTTTTCCATGTGATAATAATGGTAACTGTGAAGTCTCGGGAAGCAGCTATATTTGTACATGTTCCGATAGATTCTACGGGTCTCGATGTGAGATAGACAAAGATCCATGTGCCAATAGCCCTTGCCAGAATAAAGGTAAGTGTTACTCTTACCACTTCTAAAGAATATTGAAAAAATAACTTCTAATAAATATGCAAGAAGTTATGAATGTAAAAAATTTTCCCACCATGTATTCATTTTAAAACTTCATTCCTAAACTAAAAATGAAAAACAATCGGTAAAAACAGATTTTATTTATCTTCATATTTTATGATTTTCAGGCCAGTGTATAAACAAGAAAGACATTCCCAATGATTTTGAATGTAGATGTCCTTCACCTTTTCGTGGCAAATTCTGTGAATATGGTAAATACTGTTCTGAAGATACCTGCAAAAACAATGGCAGTTGTGTAGAAGGACCGAAAGCTATGGTCTGTAACTGTTTAGGTGGATTTGAAGGTGAGATTAAACTGAAATAAGATGGAATGGCGAAGTTTTATCAAGTTATGAAGTTGTTTCTATAAATGGTACAAAAAGAAAACTGGTTTTATATGTTTAGACTATTATTTTGTTGTTTTTTCTTTGTGTGAAGACTTAAAGATTGTAACTATGGTAAGAGAAAAAATGTTATGGGATTTACACAAAGAGAGAAAAATGCAAACAAATAAAATGCGAAAGAAGTACAAATTTATACAAGTCTTTATTATTTTTTCTAGAACATGAAAAAGTAAGAAAAAAGATTTGATACCAGATGAATAAACAAATTTTAGAAAATTGTCTTGGTCTTGCTTCTTCAAATGATATTGAATATATTATATTTTTATGTACTTATCTAATTCCTTTCATGTACATTGATGTAAAGGTAAGAATTACAAGAAGATAGTTAATGCTTGTAGGTCTAATAATTTTTATTGCAATTTTGTACAGGTGAAAATTGTCAGAAGATAGTGAGTGCCTGTAGATCTAATCCATGTCTGAATGGAGCCACATGTCACAATGCAGATAATACATATATCTGTAACTGTACAGAGAAATCAGCCGGGCGTAACTGTGACGAACTTATTACACCAAATATGATCTCTAACTCAGCGGGTATTACACAGGAGGAACTCTTTATTATCATTGGTTAGTTCAGTTTCATCAAAAGATAAGCCAAAATAAGATCATCGTTACTTCTAACGCTATTAAACAATGGTTGTTTTAATCATAAGAATATTTTATTAACTGTAATTCATTTAAACCATAATTCATAATAGTATTCATAAATATATATTTAAATCTCAATGCTCTGTCTAAACAGGATCTAATGATATAATAATAAAAATACAACATTTTACTTTAGCTGTGACTTACACATGAATATCTCGTCGACTTTTAGTTTTTAATCTTTTTATTGATCCAAGTATTATTGCAGATTAATGTATTTTATTTATGGAATTCTATTTATTTAGTTATATAATATCTAGCTATCAAACTTTTAAATATATCCTATTTAAAATGTAAATACTTATACTAGCAGCAAAAAAATATTTAACATTTGATTATTTCCACAATAAACTGATATTTGTTTTTGTTCAACAAAATTTACTCTATAATTCATTTGAAAAAATGGCCATATTATTAATAGAATGAAACTAAAATATATTTCAAACACTTAATATAAATTTTTAACAATATATAATTTATTAAAATAAATATTCATAGTTCAAATGGATAGGTTAAAAAATGAAGTGCTAATTACAGGGTCAATTAAATGTTATCAAAACAAACAAGAAATCTTCAAAAAATATAACAGATGGCCTGTTAATTTAAAAACATATTAACAGCAGAATCTTTAGGGTTGATAGAATTATCTAATTGAATTGTGAAAACATTTTAAAACATTACATTTGTCAGAAGTTGTAGTTCCTTCACGAAACATGGATAATGTGCTATATATAGGTATATGTACTAACTTTTTACTATGACTAAAGAAATATAAGGTTTATGTCATTTTGATTGATTTCTTCATTATTCTTCATCTTTATAGAATAACTAATCCAAGAATTCAAATATAGAATTCATATTGACCACATGACCATAGAACACATTAATTCACGAATGTGTGTAATGCATGAGTTAATTATCAGTGTTCTGTCTCACAGTGAATATATTTTGATTTTTGAATTCTTTGATTACTTATTCATTTTAGTACATTGACCATGCACTTTTTAATGGAAATAAGGTAGAAAATACAAGGAAATATATATTTTTTACTACACATTCTGAATTCGTTTTGATGCAGTCTTGACAATACCCATTGTTAAATAACATCAGCAGAGAGAGAAATTATTGGACCATTTCACATGATAAATTTTTTTTTTTTATTTTACTAGGAAATCACGGCTTTTCATTGCAATCAATGTTAAATTTTCATTATTTTTCAGGAGTTGCTGGGGGATTAATTTTTCTTGCTTTCCTATTTGTTGCCATCCAATGTATCAGACGTCGTCAGAACAGTCGCTATGGTAACATCACATTGGGAATTCCAACAGACGAAACAGATGTAATGTTACGTTCATTAAAGGAAGATTCTTGTAAAAATGGCATAAAGAAAAGTAACGTGGATATCACTCATCCACCACCAAGTCCACGACCACCGCCAGTGCCCGACAGACCAGCTTCGTACACTCCCAGCAACCATGATTCTCTAAACACTTTGAATAACTTTGACAATGTTAGAAATTACGGCAGTGCTGCTGACGAGTTAGAAAACATTCAAAACATTCCATATTATGCCGAGTATTTACAAACATTTGCACCACTACCTCGTATGGTTGCTAGTCAGGCGCCATCTCTAGCACCTTTGCCTTCATCTAATCCTCCGTCTGATACAGACTCTATTCAGAAGACACCATGGGAGATGGATAACATGCTTGAACATACAGGTATATTTTGAATAATAAGATCATTACTTGTCATAAAACTTCTATCTCAATAATAGCATTTGGCTGAATAAGGACTTTCTGTATTTGATTGTTTTTCTCATTGATGAAGGATGTACAGGTACCTGTAGATTATAGAAAAATTTTGATTTCTTGCCTTTGAAATAAGTTACGAAATACACCTATTGGCAACAATAGACAGATGTGTTTACAATGTTTTAATCTCATAATAATCTTGATTCTATGAATGTTGTATAGAAGTTAAAGTAAACAGAAGTTGTAATTGGTAAACAGTATAGTAAAAGTGAATACTGTCAATAAATGTATTATGCGTTTGTAAATACGCACTATACTGTATGGGTTTTTTCTCATTGTTGAAGGCCATAAGGTTGCCTATAACTGCTTACATCCACTTTGTTTTAACTTTGGTGGATAGTTGTCTCATTGGCAATCATACCACATCTCCTTATTTTTATACTGTAAATTCAGAAATTAATGTATATAGATATAAGAAGATGTGGTATGAGTGCCAATCAGACAACTCTCCATCCAAGTCAAAATTTATAAAAGTAAACCATTATAGGTCACAGTACGGTCTTCAACACAGAGCCTTGGCTCACACCGAACAGTAAGCTATAAAGGGCCCCAAAAATTACTAGTGTAAAACTATTCAAAGGGGAAAAACCAATGGTCTAATCTATATAAAAAACGAGAAACAAGAAACACTTATGAACCACATCAACAAACGACAACTACTGAACATCAGATTCCTGACTTAGGACAGGTGCAAACAAATGCATGTATTATTGCTAATCACTGATTACTTATGTATAAGTGATACAACTAACATATAAATTAGATATAATATTTATATAAGACCATATTTTAATTAACAGATAAAAATCATCCAGAGAAACTGTACATTAAGAATATCCCTGGTCCACAGGTTGGACCACCAGATAATATCTCATTTAGCAGTTTACCTGTATCAGAATCAGAGGATGAACCAGGTGAGATTACCTATAAGCATAATTATCATTGTCATCATGTGTATGAGTCACATGGGATGGTTAGACTTGATGCCACAGCTTGTTCATTGTATGCTAGGCTTACAATGGTTTCATCAAACTAATTATTGATAGCATTTTATATTATTATATCTCACATTTTTATTGAGCTATGGTAAAGAATATCAAAATCATTTCTTCTAGGAATCGGATCTTTTTAATTTGTTTAATAATATGTTTACTTACATATTGCAATTCAAATATTATACCAATATGAGTGACTTGAAAATAGCTTTGATTCAATGTTTGACAATGCAGTTGAGTTCAAAATTTACTAGGTATAGAATGATAATTATGATAAAAAAAATGTTCAAATCAAAATTACTACACTCCTGGTATACAGAATTGCAATCAATACTTTATGACTTTTCTTGTAAGAAAAATTACTAAAATATGTTTTCATCACTAGTAGATACATCTGAATTATAATACAGCACACTGTTTATCAATAGGTCTACACACGCTTTAGCTTTTAAATTTAGCTTTAAAGGAACCTTTGAACCATGGGGCTAGCTCATCGTATCATTGTTATCACTGCACACATTTCATGTTTCATATATTGTATTACTCTGTGTAAAATGTAAGTTTTAGTTGCTGTCAAAATTGAAATATAATTGAAATGCATTGCTGGATGTTAGTTATGGCCTTAATTATGAGCTTGTCATTAAAAGATATTTTTTTATTTCTCATGTATACAATAGATACACCACTTCTGGTATGAACTTTGGGTAAGAAACAAAATTGTATAAAATAGAGAATTTTCCAAAATTTTGAATTCCTTATTGTTTTGTTTATTTATTGAGCTCTTTTGAGGGAGATTTCAGCTTTTGCATGAATTCATTGCTTTGTTGGTTTGGTAATGTTTGGTGGACTGCAGGAAAATGTGTTAAAAATTCACCCTAAAATAAAAACAGATTGTAATATTTTTGGGAAAAAATTGTTTACTTTTTTTCTTCATTTTAAATATTAATCAAATAGAAAGTTATGTTTAATAAGCATATTTTTTTCTGTTCACAAAGCCATTTGTATAAAAAGAAAAAAAGTCCAAACCTTAATTTTCTAGGTGCAGATAGTAAATTTGATCCTAAGTTTTTAATTTGATCATATCATCATTGCACTCATCATACATTGATTGATTTCACTTTAAGATAATTAATATATTCTCTGAGTTTGACAACCTAAAAAAGTGTTTGCTAGTACTCCACCAGGATATGGTTCTTATAGAGACGAATACTTAATCTTGTTACATGTAGAATGATTTTTGGTTCTTTAATTACGAAGAAAACATTGTTTTACACACAGAAAAATGTTAAGGTTGAAAATTATGTTGTATTATTACCAAGTTTAGGCATTTTGTGTTGGTAAAAATATAACTAGTAATATCTTCGGTCATCCGTCCACTTGTATTTTTTATTTTTCAAAATTTGTTAAAAAGTCAAAATTTCTGATTTAATAGTAAAAAGTCATTCTGCATGATATATTGCCAATGTGATAACACAACACTTCTTTTTCCATGCAGCTGCATCAAAATCAGGTAGAAGAAAGAAACGGAAAGGTAGCCAATCAGAGCTAGGCATGCTCTTTACGCTTGGCTTCATCCATCACATAAGTCAATTTCTGTTGCTTTTGGGAAAACAGAAAGAAAAAATTGAAAACACACAAAAATCAAAATTTCAGCCATTTATAGTAAATAAAATCAAAATTTTACATTAAAAAGATGATTTCAGTGATATAACTTAAGCAACAGATTTGGCTTATGTCTAACAAAAGCTCTATTTGTATTTCTAAGCAGAATTTCCATTTTGCATGTTTATTATTTATTATAAATCTTGTAAATATCTTGCAGTATCTATTTAAGTTCTGCCTTTATTATGTTTTCTGTGTATATTGCATGATATTATATTTTCACACATATCTGGAAATATTACATTTCTATATAAAATGGGGTTTTCTATATCTCTTGGTGATTTCTGCTAGAACCATTTACCTATGGTAATCCTAAATATTTTGGTAAATGTTTTTATGTTTCATTGAAGAGGTATGTGTTATCATTTCTGCTGGAACAAATTGCTAGTCTCATCTTAAAAAAAATTATCTATATTTGGTTTTTTAACTGTACAGATGTTGATAGCATAATAAGAAATGATTATTTTTTATGCCGTTGGGAGAAAATACTGTTATATTTCTAGAGCAAAAGTAGTAATATTTTACAATCTATTGATTTAAGGACCTTTCACAATCAAAATTTCAAATTCTTTTTATTATATTTATTTATCTCCATCACGGAAAAATGCTTGTGAATGTAATTTTCTTGGGTATTTCACTTTCTGTCATTAATTTAATGTTTAATATTTGAATAGTTTATTTATTTTACTAATGGTAGCAACATTACATAGGAACTTTAGGAGCAATGAAATGACCATTTGTATGATTTTGATGTCATTTGAAAGTAGTTTAGACTTTTTTTTTTTATTTTTGAATGTTTGTAAAATTAACAATTTCAGTATCAGAAATGGTATTGTTTATTTAATTTTCTTAATAACAAAATCCAATTGTCATTGATTGTATATACAATAGTGTAAAGTAGCAGTCATTAGAGATTACGATATCCTTTAAAAATTGCATCTCCTACTTAAAACCTTAAACCACCATTACATTTAAGCGAAGAACTTGTAACCGTATTAAACTTTTCAAGATCATTTTCATTCATAGCCCAAATAGTAAAATCTGTTGAATTAGTACCAACAAAAATTTGTTTCCCATTATATACATCTTAGAAGACTCATTGAAATACTTGGCCATTTTGGACTTGAGTGTATCCTTAAAATTTTATCTGGACTTGATGACTTTATATAGAAAATCTCTACATACACTTATTTCCTAAAAAGAAAAGGATCTAGTTAACTGTTGGGTTTGCTTTCTTTTCTTTTATAATTGTTTTGGGTGGAACTGGTTTGAATTTATGATAAGCCACTGTGTGATAAGCAGAATTTCTTTTCATTTAGATATTGTTTTGGGTGGAACTAGTTGGAATCTATGATAAGCCACTGTTTGCTAGAAAGAAGTATTTAGACAAATTTAATTCAGTTGCATATGTTTGTTGTCTAACATTATAGTATGCTTATACATATAAAAAGTCCAATTGTGATGTATATTGATTATTAAATTTTTATTAGCTGTTGCTAAAACTAATTGTATTGCCTTTAGTCAAACCTAAATTAAAAAAAGTCAAGAATCCAACCAGTAGCTATGTATAAAAGTCATGCCTATAGGCTGTTTTAAATAAGTGTAGAAATTTAGAGTTGAATCAGTAGCTGTATGAATTCCTGCCTAAGAAAATGCTGATTAAAATACATATTTGCCACAATACATACTAAATAAGTTTCTGTAAATCAGTGATAATGAATAAACAATTCTGCATTGAAAGATCCTTCAAATATTAAAAAGTTAATTTTGATTTGGCCTAGAAAGTTTGGTTTTAATTTAACTATTAAATTTTCACTATTTTCAATGGGTTTCAATTTTGATTTAAAGTATCAGTATATTCTGCAAGACTGTAACACACCCAACATATTTCTGCTTTGGGAAATGTTGTCTAAGATATTATAATATGGAAACTGCTTGTTAGTAAAGAAATATTCACAATTTTATTTATGACAAGCCATAACTTTTTTTAATATCTTTTCTTATGATTATTTTGCAGATTATCACTGGGACGCCTCAGACTGGGCCCCTCGTCCATCATTACCAAATATCAGTGAAGTACCAAACAGAGAATGTCCAGATTCACCAAGTTCTAGTCCCCATAGTAATGAGTCTAATGAACATGCTGATTGTCTGCAGCACCATTACAATAATGACGTTTACACTGACGGAGAAATGATTGAATCTGAATACGTCGGTGATTCAGAGTTTGCTGACAATGAGTGTGACACTGACCATTACTTAAATCCACCAAATTATCAAGAAATCTTTTCTCAGTATATAAACAATGACGATTCAGGAAACCAAGACACGAGTTACGAGCTTCCAGAACACAATTTTCGTATGCATCCGAATGAGTATTTACCAATGTACAATTTAAATGATGAATCTCGAGATGAGTACAGTGACAATGATAATTTCCCCGATCCACCAGAAGAATTTCGAGGAGGAGAAAATCGTGTTAGTCAGTTAAGTGAGGATGACTTAGATGACAATGACGAAGTAGTGCATTATGGGTTTCCATCTCGACAACCTTTACTTGGTCTCCAAGGAAACATAACAGACAGTGAATACAATGTGCGATCATCCATGATTGATTCTATGGGGGGCTATACATCAACAAATGCTTCAATGTCAGACATTTCAGGACTTTGTGAAATTGAAGATAGCGAAGTAAACTTTAGTGATGAAAGTGGGGATGAAAACAATGAGAGAACACCACTGAACATTGATCGTCTTCATACACAAGTATAATCCAAGGACATGACTTAGATTCTGTGTTCAATATAATGGTTAACATGACCACATGAGGTTGTTATGGACCAATCAGAAGTCCTTGATTTTTTTCATTTATTTATAACGAATGGTTGTAAAATGTTTGTTTAGGCAAATAGTTATAAATTTGGTGCTATAAATACACCTTTCTCATCAGACACAATAGCCTTACTAATAGGGCAGAAAGATCTGTTTTTTTCCACGATTGTCAGTCTTGCATTTTTTTAATATAAAAATTACTTTTTTATGGTTTTCATTGTTTTATTCATTCATTTCATTTTTTTTGCATATTGTTTCATTGCAAGTAATTCTTATGATGACCAATTTACCTCATCAAAATAAATCTTACAGCTTTTTGACATTGCTTTAAGATGATGTTAATGAAGCAAACTGCCAGGTTGTTGCATATTAATTGGTTTTGTATAATGACAGTAGTTACCTTTGTGATCATGGTTGTAGCATGCATCAGTCTTTCACACATTTATTATCCAGTATGTATGGTTGTTCAGATATACCAGTAAGAAATAAAACTTGAGATCTAAATATACAGTGAAACCTCATTATTTAAATGATAAAATTAACCAAACATTTTATTAATATATGTTTACTTACAAAGAGTCTAAATATATGCTAAAATATAAAAAAAAAGATGGAGAAAAATGGACACAAAACATATACAAAAGAGAAAAAATGGCTTAAACATTTAAGAATACAGAAATGAAAACCCCACATTCAGATCCTTTCAAAAGGTTTTACTGTATGTTATCTGTGACAATACAGATATATATTTTGCCAAAATTTGTTTATACCTTTGTTGTGTTAATCAACTAGATATAGATGGTTGTTTGACTTATTGTCATGTGGCTTATTGTCATGTGACTTGTCATGTGACTTATTGTCATGTACTGTTGTTAGTGATCAGTTTGGTTGTTTACATTTTATCAGATGTATAATACTATTGTTTTCTTCTGCTCATGCAAATTTATTACCTCATTTGCATAAATTTGTATATTTAATCAAATGCAGTTGTTTCATGACAGTTCATATGTTGTTGTTTTCAGGAACAGTTCATTTATGTAATTAACAACAATTGAACATTTTATTTTGAATTTCTGAACACATACAATAAACTTTATTTAAATTTCTAATGTTTTATGAAATATTTACACAGAAGGTTGTGCTTTTATTGAAACAGCAGAAAAATATTTTTTTTTTAATACCACATTAAGTTTTTAAGAAAATATGATGGAAGGTCATCATACATTAAATAATTTTTGGCAGAAAAATGATTGAGGAAGGTCTAATTATAGATGTTTATTAGATACATGTTAAGTGCAATGGGCTAAAGGTTTTATTGTTTAAGTGCTTAATAACTGTGATAAAAACTTAACAAATTTCTTCATATTTTTTCTAGAATAATTTTATTTCTAGGATTAATCATATTTAAAATAAGCTAAACAAATTTATATTGATAACAAAGATTTGACAGGATAAATTTTAACATGACACAAATTGATTTAATTATATGCATCCATATCATATATAAGACAGCAGGGTTATATTTAGACCTGTGTTCAAACCAATGGGAGTTAATGTCTCATTCCTCATTCAACCATTGGAATCGTAATGATTTTACAATGTACATTGTTTCATTTACTGATAGATTTTACTTCAGGAGGACTTTTATAGAAAGTAACTAATGAAGGACTGTTAGCCAAAAAAGATATGATATCCATAAGTCTTTATCAGTGCTTATTAAATTGTACTTTAGTTTTTTTTATTAAGATTTGTATTCAACTGCTATTGCCTGATATAAACTTGACTTTTGAATTAAGATACATGTGGTTGCTTGAATTAAAAGGCCAGTCAATGTTGATACTATTTTAGAAATTTATTACAAATTTATAGGCAATTTGTACATACAAATTTAATCATATTTTCATGATTTCATGACATTTTTACATTCATAAGGTTGTACACAGTGGAGTGTGTATTTTATGATGACAGTTTTTTTGTTGAATGTATGTTTTAAATGTGATTTACATTATTTTTATAGATAATGTGTGAATGATATTTTTAAGTTTTGTGATTGTGAGCTTCAGGTTATGAACCTTAGTATTGTGTTGATGTAAATAAAAAAATGACGAAATTAAAATTTATAAAACTTGAGGTCTGCAATTTTACTTTTGCCATGGTTGAATTAGAATAAAATTGAGAATGGAAATGGGGAATGTGTCAAAGAGACAACAACCCGACCATAGAACAGACAACAGCAGAAGGTCACCAACAGGTCTTCAATGCAGCGAGAAATTCCCGCAACCGGAGGCGTCCTTCAGCTGGCCCCTAAACAATTATATATACTAGTTCAGTGATAATGAACGCCATTCTAAACTCCAAATTGTACACAAGAAACTAAAATTAAAAATAATACAAGACTAACAAAGGCTAGAGGCTCCTGACTTGGGACAGGCGCAAAAATGTGGCGGGGTTAAACATGTTTATGAGATCTCAACCCTCCCCCTATACCTCTAGCCAATGTAGAAAAGTAAACGCATAACAATAGGCACATTAAAATTCAGTTCAAGAGAAGTCCGAGTCTGATGTCAGAAGATGTAACCAAAGAAAATAAACAATGTACTTTTTGGTATTTTGTCCTCTCAATCTGATTGAAATACAGATCATGTGCTCACGCTCCGTTCTACTTTCAGTTTAAAGACCTTATTTAATCCTTTTGGTTTTGTAGTAATGATACACACCTTCAAAAATTTGAAGGCAGATATTTCATTGGCTGATGTAATAATTTCCAGGAAAAAAAGTACAACAGAGTGTTGTCAGGTCCTTGTAAGTAAGCGTGGACACGTGATCCATATTTTAATCAGAGCGTTATCTTCAATAATATATATAGAGTTTGGAGGGATAGACAGCACCTTTGATAGTAAGGGGATATTATGTTTTCTGGTATGTGTGTCTGTCCATTATTCTAGCCATTCGTCCAGTATCTGGTTACAGTTTTTGATCAAGGTAATTGACCAGGAAGTTGTGGTCACATCAACTTGAAACTTAGTATACATGTTTATTATGATGAGAACTTTATAAAGTAACCGATTTATGCAAAATTACGGTTTTGAACATATTTTCACAGTTGCTCTGAACGTAGATAAATCCTGAGTACAAAACAAATATTAGATTGAGGAAATTAACCATAAAGTTATTAACCATACAAATCCAGTAATTTTAATATGTTAATGTATATACATATTAGAAAACAATAGCATATCTTAGGTTAATAATCTACAGTTAAAAAGACAATTTATATTCTGCAAATTTCTGAACTTAATATCTAAGAAACAGTAGTCACCAATTAGTCACAATTATTGACATAACCCTTAAATAGAAATAGGAACTCACAGCTAAATCATAAACACTTATCAGCTGTTATACTTCCTGTTATCCTTGTAAGTATTATTCAAGTAATCCATGGTTAAGAAATACAATTACTGATTGAACATGGGTATATTTTGAAATCCTATTTATACATATGCACATAATCTAGCATAAATCCAATAACTCATGAGTGCAGTGGTCATATATTCATAAATTAAAGAAGATGTGAAGTTTACATCAATGAGACAGTATAAGACATAATAGTGTCCTGTGAAAAAAGTGTCCACCTGAACAGTTTTTCATAGAATTTTGGTATTAAATAATGTCCATTGCCATGAAATATTGTCCCTCAAGTGGACAGATTTTTACTGCAAAATTTATGAAATAGTGTCCACCCACAAGACAAGTTTTCATAGTAGTTTCTATTAAGTTGTGTCCTCCAAAGGGAAATAATACAAAGGTCATTAAAAAGTTTTATTATACTTGAATTTTAATAAAATCTGAACGATTGATTAGAAATTGATTAATATGCAATGTTAAAATACGTCCAGTAATAACAAGGCAATGGATATCATTCAATACTTAAATCAAATCAAAAAAAGTCCTGTGAAAAAATGTCCACAGACAGAATTATAGTATTGAGTAATGTCCATGTTCATGGACACTTTTTCATACCTGAGGACATATTTTCATAGGAAATTGTGTCCAGGACACATTTAAATAAGTAAATATTGTCCATGTACAGTATTTACTATGAAATAATGTCCGGTGGACATTATTTCATGGGGGACATTATTAAATCATACAACAGCAACCCAACCAACACGATTAACTAAATGACATCTAGGTGGCATCATACAGTCTACAACAATGCACAGGTGTTTATACAATATGTCAAGCTCTAAATCTTCCTGGAGTCTCAAAAGGTTGGGAATGATTTAAACAAACTATCGTTACAAAAAGCTGATCTGACAGCATGAATGATAAAGCCTCTGACGTCTATTGAAATTTGAAAAAAAAAATGAAAAAATAGACCAGAAATCTGCAGTTTCTCGAACTTCTGACCCAAATTTTTCCTCCAGACCTATAGTCAAATTGCTCAAGAAAGGTTTATGTGAAAGCCAATTAAACACACTATCGATTACCGGCTATCACTACGGCAGATTCTGAGATCTGTTTTCCTGATTGCCATGAAAACAATTAATTTTGCTATTATGAACAGCACGTTTGTGTTCCGATTGCTATTGTCTTGTCTTGTTAGAAAACTTCTGCTTTCGAAGTAGAAATTGCTTATTGTTGTGATGTTCCCCATTTTGCGCAGAACTCGCAATTATTGATAATTTGTGAGAGCTCAACCAGTGATGGTCCCTCGCTGAGGCAAAAACAGTGCATGATTGATTGAAAAGATCTTTTTTTTCTGAGCCCTCGTCGCAAAAGAGCATATTGGGTTGTCGTCAACCTGGTTGAAGGCTGCCCGATTACACTGGATAATATATATACCAGTTAGGAGTTTGAGCTTGTTGGGGAGACACTGAATGTCCTCTGTAGAAGTCTGGACGCTTGCCAGAGTATGTGTAAACGACTATTTTTGTAACAAGATGTTGATATAGATGAAATACTTTTGCAGTAGACAGACTCGATAACAATGTTCAATCCTAAAGGTATCGATTGCTGTCCTGACAGAATTTTTCCATTTTAATTTTGATGGTGGTTCATCCATAATGTTATAGACTGATAGCAGAGACAAATAATACAATATTATATGTCTGCTGATGGTAAGCTGTATTTTATTAAATAATGATCTGATTTTCGAAAACTAATTTTCTTTTACGGCTGTTGGTATTAGGATTTGTTTTTCTATACATAGAGTCCTCTTGTGGTGATATAAGCAAATGTTCCCAATGCCAATTTGATTTTTACTGATTCCTGGAATAGAACAGGACAGAGTATTTACAGCATTTTTGTTGTGATGTTTGGTATAGAAAGAATTTGTTTGGTGCTTTTTTTACAATAATTTGATTGGTTCCATTTTTGTGGAATTGGGTAATAGTATATCCAAGTCATAGATGAGAAATGGTAACACATTTACTTGGAATAACTGAAAGCATGCAACTGGACCGAGGCCGTTCTTGACATGGAGGCATTTCTCCTTCAGGCCATACATTGTTCTGTCGTTTTTTTCTTCTGAGAAATGATCTGTACTAGGAGCAGTAGCGGTATTTTTAAAAAATTGACCTAATATGGAAAAGTATTTCCACGCACGTTTCATAGCCAGGTGTTTAATTTCGACAGTTGCCTACCATGTTTCCACAAGGATTTTAGAATTGCTGTAAGTATTATTCATAGTTTGGTGCCTATTGCTGTTCGTTATTCAGTTGCATCATATGTGTCACTATCCTGGGCTTGATTGGTTGGAATAACAATATTTACACCTACAGCACCCATTGTAGGTCGTGTTTCAGATGTACAGGTGTCAGGCAGGGAGGAATTTAGATGTAAAGGATGGCCTGTCACCAAATTTTCATTGAACTTGTGTAACATTCTTGAATTTGTCTGATATCTGATTTTTGTTGGTAGTATCTGATCAAGCCTCGTTCCAATATCAGAATTTTGCGTGCATGGTCATATAGAACGGAGGTGGTGGCAAATTCCATGAATATATCTGAGTTTGTGATTGATGTATATGTGACATGTTCATCTAGGAATGTCTTTGTCCACGTAGATGTAAGCCAATGCATTGATCATGTGGCGTTGCTTGCACATTTGCATATTGATGTGGTATTTGATTATGGTACCCAGTTACACGTTGACCTGGGATATGAATCTGGAAACAATTTACATGTGGACCTTGTCTCTAATTATGGTATCCATGATATTGATAGTGATTACCATATGGAGATGACCCATGTTGTTTTGCCGATTCCAGTGCATCCACTCTTTGTTTGTTCTCAGGGTCAGAAAATCTTCTATTAAGGGCATAAATGCAAAACGCCTTCTTTATTTTAGATTGCAGATGTTGAGTTTTTTTAAGGTGCACCGAAGTACCTCCTGTCATCTGTTCTGCTTGGAAGGGGTGTGAATTCAGGTTTTGATCAGCTCGAGTTGTGACGTTAAATGATGTACTATCGACAATTCCCGCTACTGCATTTTCATTTGTAATTTTTTAATTGGTAAGATTTTGGTGTTTGAGTTCTTCATCCCATTTCTTTAAACGTAGCTCATTTTCCACAAGCTATTGACCATCGTTTGTGTTGTTCAGATGGTTTTGTTCCCTATGTTGTATTTCAGCAGTAACTCCTGAAGTGGGTTTACTCTGTTAGTAACAAGGTCTAGACGGGATAAGCCAGATTATCGATTCACAATGTTTGTCGCTAGATTCTGTTTTTTTATTTTAAATATATTTTATTCATTAAGATATGAAAAGGATTGAGCTACATGCACAGCCTATAAAAGCTCTCTCCATACTACATGTACAAGGTATAAATCAAATATTAACAACTGTATTTAAAATAATACAATATAGTGGAAAATGCATGCTACTTATGAGCACACACAAAGAAATACATATTTACAGTGTTAATTATTAAATGTGTAGTATATTTAAATATGTAAGCAATTAATCGTCATTTATTCATGTAAATATCCTTTGAAATATAAGTCATTAGAAATATATATTAGTATATATAGGTTTGGAAGAGACTATACATACATAGGGAACTTCTGGAAATTGTCATCATGTCCCTCTTTCCTCTTTAGTGAATTTTTCACAGTTGAAGTGGAACCAG